GATTGACCTTTGTCAAGCATTTACCAATTCTGGGAGACTGATTCTGCCTTCTTTACTTTCTTCAACTACCTACCTCCATGATTCTTACTAAATTTGCTTACAAACTCGTATAATGCTTGCAATGGCCAGGCCTCTCTATTTTCTGTCACCAATCTTCTCTTTGTGCTCAGAGAAGTGATTCGTTATTAGTTGTCAGTGTATAGGCCATTCCACTGGCCTGCTCTCAGGGATCTAGCATGCGCTTACATCATCCTGCCTCTGTCACTGCGAGGTGTGTGCCCCAGATAAAAATGTCGCCAACCACCCCAGCCCCGACTCTGCTCTGGCCCCCCTCTCTGCATGACATCTCTGTTCTCTGTCTGCATGGGTGTCCTCTCTGCCCAGTCTCTCTGCCTCCTGGCACTCTCTCAATTTTTCTCTCTCTCTCAATTTCTCTCTCCCTCCCTCCCTCCCTCCCTTCCTCCCTTCCTCCCTCCCTCCCTCCTCCCCCTCTTGTCTGTCTATCTATCTGTCTGCCTACATGTCCACTTGTCTGCCTCTATCCTTTCCCAGGTCCTTACTCTTCCCCCTCCACCAGTGAACTACTTTCGCACCATTTCTTGCCATATTATATTTCATAACACAAGTAGCCTATGATTAACTGCTTTCTGCCAAATTCATTTCAATAAATTTAAGCTAAATATCTTTTGTCTAACATCCTTGTATTTATAATATAAATGGTCTGGCTTTACTATTACAAACAAGGGCAAAAATGGCTTTATACACTGAAGAAAATCAGGAAAACATAACACCACATATTGAGACATACATTTTTTGCTTGATTCAAAACTAAAGATTCTTTTGATAAATTCTTTTCTAAAATGATTAACATCATAGTGGTAGAAGAAAAAGGTTTTACTGTTAGAGAGAAATACTAAATATAAAAAACAGGTAATGGAAAATAATTCAATCAGTACTTTGCATTACTATAATAGAAATTCTATATTTTAAGATGTTTCTCATAGGGTATGCAAAAAATGTAATACATCTAAAATGGAAGCTGGGATGAGCACAACTAGGTTTATATGACAAAATTTATATGTACATAAAAAATATGTACTGCTCTAGGAAAGTAAGATGACTATCAGGAAATCAAATAAAACTACTCTTATTTAATCCATCCGGCTGTTGCCACAGAGCAAATGTGGCAGTCTTATTAAAGATAATTAATGTAATCATATCAGAAACACAGCTGACATGTTTTCATCCACTGTTAAGGAAAAGGGCTAGGAATCTCAAATAATTACGGTATAAGCATGACGCTAATAAAACAGTAAGATAAGCACAGTACCTAACATTTCTGAGGCAGCCATAGTCACCTGGATTGCTGTCTATGTCAGAGCATGAGTTTCACAATCACACTAGCCTAACCTTGTAAGATAAGCCAATAAGCATGGCAGCAGAAGTAGCCACAGTAGAGCCTCAAAGTGTCTGGTAAAATTCCAAGACCAGCTATAAAAGGAGTCTCAATATAACTACACCTAGGAAACAGATTTCTTGCCAGAGAGAATTATAAAGGAGTCACATTATATCTTTGTATTGTTATCTACAAGTAGTGAGAAAAGCTTGTTGGGGGACCCAGATCCAAACCAAAAACATTACTAGCTCTTGTGTAGCTTTGTGTATGAGCATTTAACGTGAGAAAGCGTTCCTTCCAAGTTAGAATCAACATCTCTGTTATTGTACCGTGAAATGATTAGTACTTTAAAAAGCCTATTGTGGGCTGGAGAGATGGCTCGGAAGTTTAGAGCAACTGGCTGTTCTTCGAAAGGTCCTGAGTTCAATTCCCTGCAACTACATGGTAGCTCACAACCATCTATAAAGAGAACTGGTGGTCTCTTCTGGCCTGCAGGCATACACACAGGCAGAACACTGTATACATAATAAATAATTAAATCTAAAAAAAAAAAGCCTATTGTGTCCAGCATTTAACTGTACCACTGTCCCCAATTATCAATATGACTTATATTTCACACAATTCCACCATTGCTCTAGATTTCAAATAATTATCAAAAGGTGATTATTTTTCCCTCCACAACAACATATTTAGCTACATTCCAGATATATTAATAACAAACATTACTGTGGGTGGTTCAAATAGAAATGGCCTCCACAGGTTCATATATTTGAATAACTCATCACTAGGTAGTGCTGGTACCTGAGAGAGATTAGGAAATATTGTTGAAGTAGAGATATAGCTTTGTTTGAGGAAGTGTGTCACTGGGGATAAGGGTTTGGGGTTTCAGAAGCCCAAGGCAGACACAGTGGCTCTCTTCCTACTGCTTGAAGGTCCAGATGTAGAACTCTTGGCTCCTTTTCCTGCACACCATGCTGCCTACTAAGCTGATAATGCACTAAACCTCTGAACCTGTAAGCAAGCCCCAGTTTAATGCTTTCCTTTATAAGAGCTGTTGTGCTCATGGTGTGTCTTTACGGCAATAGGACAGTGTCTAAGACAACTATCTATGAAGAGAGAAGGGAGACGCTCATCATGCCACAGAGTATCTCAGCACCATTCCGACAGTCCATAGGTATCTTGTTTGTTTAGTCTGAAGGGTTCCTACTCATATGGCTGTATAACTATGCATTTCTCTTTCTTCTGAGAGGGGATGGAGATTTAGCTTAGTGGTAAAGCACTAGCCTACACTGTTACGCCAAGGCCTGGGCTTGATCTGCAGCAGAGTTCACATCCTCCTCCATTAGCCAACACATGAAGAAAAGTGACATAAAGGGCTTATCTGTTAGGCAAGCGCTGGGAATTTCAAAGCTGTTTTTAGTTAGGGAAGAATGTGAGGAGCGGGCCAATGCTAGGAAACTGATTTACTATCCGAAGAAGACATTTAGGACCATGAACAATAAAACAATTGGGATGAAGAAGAAACCAAAGCAAAACCAAAGTGCTGGCCTAGAAGAATCAGTATGAAAACACAGATGGCCCAGCACCAGTGCATTTAATCTGCACAACTCTGCAGGAGACAAAAGTCACTGAGGTCTGTTTGAGTCCTAGGAGGAAGGCCTGTGCAATGCCTTTGACTATGCTATCTCATCAAACTCCTTAGTTGCCATGGTTACCTGTATGCCAGTGACCTTTCCTCCAGAGCCCAGAATCACTTTCAGTAGCAACTACAGTTTGAAAGTGAGCTACAATTAAGAGACGTTCAGAGTTGTGATAAGAGGGCAAGCAAAATTGAAGTAGGATGGGCTGGCGAGGTGGCTCAGTGGTTAAAAGCACTGGCTGCTCTTCCAGAAGACCTGGGTTTAATTCCCAGCACCCACATGGCAGCTCACAACTGTAGCTCCTGTGCCAGGGAATCTGACACCCTCACACAGACATACATGCAGTCAAAACACCAGTGCACATAAAATAAATTAATTAATTAATTAAAAAAAAAAGAATTTGAAGCAAGAGCAAGTGTGTCTGCTTACTCTCCAAGAAAGAAAAACTAAAACCTCAATGAAGGTTTAAACGCCTTCAAACATGTTGCTTATTTGAGCAAAATCAGTATTTTTTTAAAGGATTTTTCTCAAGTTCTCATCAGCTGTTTGTACCAAGCGACTCTGCTCATCTTACCTGATATCTAAAGAGTTTAAGTAGTTGACAGTCAGGGAAAAACAAGCACATGATAACTTCTGCTTAACATCCTCACACAGGTCAGTTTCCAGAGCAGTTTAAAAAAGACAACTTTTAAGAGAGCATAAGGATCTCTTCACCTCATCTTCCTGTCGCCAGGTGGCAATGAAGACATGCTCGATTACACAGGAGCCCGTATGGAAAGGCAGGACTCGGGTAAGTCAAAAGCCCTGCAATCTGGGTTACTGTAAAGTTTTCTTGTTTTGTTTAGAGCAGGACCCCTGCAGGCTGGCTGACACATTTAACGTCACAGAGGTACTCACTCATTACAGGGTTGGGTGGAATCTAAAGAACTGATGCATTTAAAGTGTGCATGGCTGGTTCAGCATAGTAAGTGCTCTGCTGGCTTTTATGGTCAGAACAGTGAAATTGGAAAACACAGAAAACGTTCAGACAATGGAAGAAGCAGCTGCCATGCTACTGCACTCTTGTCCTCCACTGTACTCGTACAGAGCTACAGGTTTCGTGTGTCTTTGTCAAGATAGGCACAGGTCATTTTTGCCACTGTGTTTCCTACAGAGACACTGTCTAGAAAGAACAGTGAATTGCAGGGCATAGCAATCAGAAAAATCAATCAAAAATTTGAACTCAAAAGCGGGGCACATGGTAAGGCATTCCCTTAATCCCAGTACTAAGGAGGCAGAGGCAGGAGGATCTCTGAATCCGAAGCCAACCTGGTGTACACAGTAAGTTCCAGGTCAGCTGGAGCTACATACTGGCTCAAAACACCAACAAAGCAAAACAAACAAGCCTAAGCAAACAAGCACAAACTACACTCAATATTCATGCACTAGGCATATCGTTTAAGGGTAAAGTTTTTACCCATCACGTACAAGGCTCTAGGTACCATCTCCAGCATTTGACACACATATATGAATTCCATATATGGACTACTGTTTATAAGTTACTTATTGTCTGACACAGACCTTATTGAATGAATGCTGAATATAACAAAGGAGAAAAACATCATGACATTAGAGGCATGAAATCAAAGAAATACATGTGAGGATATGCATATAAGAAGTGATAAAAATGAATATAAAACGCTATAGTAATTATAATATAGAATGGAGGTTGGGAGGGTCACGTCAAAGGAAGAGGTTGACATCTCAATGACTGAGTGCCCTTAGCACTTTGGGCTTCCTCTCAAGATCAATAATGAAATACAAAAGAGGAAGAATATTCATAAACCTGTATAAAGGACATATCCCTCTGACCACACATGTACAGAGATATGCACATAGCATGATTATGGACCACACCCCAAACTCACTCCTAGGTAGAGGAGGGGACCACGAAAGGAGGATGCCAAGGCTGTTTCTGAACAAACCTGTTGGAAAGGTCGAGTCTGGGCCTGCCTGAGAAGCCGCTGCTGCTGCTGCTGCTGCTGCTGCTGCTGTTGCTGCTGCTGAAGAAGCTTCATCTGTAGCAGCTGCTGCTGGGACGTGACTGCATGAAGGGAGGGTGGCTGCAGCATGGCGCCCGAGCGTCTCTGAAGCATGTTGGACAAAGCTTGCTTGGTATTGGTCGGGACAAAGGAGCCCGCAGGGTCCAATCTGGAACCACCTATAAAAGCAACCACAAGGAAGGCTTTCTAAAGCAACAGGGTATTCTTTGATGACAACACTGAAATTTCACCTTCCTTACATTATGAGCAAGACAGAAAATAAGATACTGCCCTACTAGCTCCAAGCTCTTATATTCTGCTTAGAGCTGCCTAATGTCCCCAAGATAAAAGGCAATGGTGTGCATGAATAACAACACTTCACAACTGCTGCATGGAGATTGCACTTCTGTGGATAAAATGCAATGCCTGAAACAAAATGGGTCAGCACAAAACATCGGTCATGTGGGTTGTAGGCCATGCACACCAGTAATGTAATACTTGAAGAAAACAGTACCTAATACTATATTTTGCAAAGTTTTGTAAGTCAGGTATAGAGCCTCTCTGTATTATAAACACATCTAAAGGCTGTGTTTTTAACCCTTTCCCTTGGCAAAATTAAAAGGCCTAATTTGGAAATGGGGAACATGGGAAAGAGCTTCTAATTGGAGAAGGAAGCTGAAGGAGAGTCAAATAGCTAAAGTCTCAAGGAATCATGCTAGTTTATATTTTTTACCTAAAATCATATATGATACATACTTGAACATATACGCACACAAACACACAAACACACACACACACACACGCACGCACACACACACACGTCTATATCACTCTAGACAGAGTTGTGTGTTCATGCTTTTAACCCAGAGCCATCCTTCTAGGTACACAAGCTCTTGCTATGGCTCGAAAGCATGAGTCTACTCCAGCTGTTTATAGATACTTGTTATCTGCTGCTTTTTCTACAAAGAAGACTTCAGTACAGATTACAAACAGTGGTAATATGAATATATTTTACATTTTCATCTCTTTTTGCAACTTTTTAATAAATTTATATGAGCTTCAGGGAGTCATGACTTGATTCCACCTGTCACAGGTCAAATGTATTCTAGATAAGTACTCCTGTCAGTCAACAACTTAAAACTTTTTGCCCACTGCCTATCCCTGAGGGTGGGTACTTTCCTTCCCCTTGTCTTGAGACTTCGTTTGACCACTACTCTGACTACCAAGACTAAAGGCCTGGATGTTTCAAGTGTATAACCAACATAAAATGTTTTCTCTCTAAGTTTCTTAACTTTACCATCCTATTCATAGTCTGTATCTGTCTAAGAAGATTTACACTCAGCAGACAGACACCAACCAGGAATCAACTGAGGCTCCAAAATTGGCGGTATCACACCAGCCCAGGTGGTCTTGCAGAACTGGTGAGGCCCAGTCTTGCTGATAGCTAATATAAACCACTCTAACCAATGTGATAGCTCTCTGTCTCTTCAGGCTACGTCAGTGAACAAGATGTTTCTGGCAAAGGACCCCCCCCACTATTATGTGAATCTTTTTCCTTCCCAGCCTTTGATCAGTATTCTGTGTTAGACTTCAAACCCAGGACTCTTCACTCTAACCCTATTAAAATACAGGTAAATCCTCTGACCTCCTCTCAGGGACCTAGTAATTATTTAGGTGTGTGCTATGGATAAAAGGATCCACCAGCTGTCACTTTATACAGCCTCAGAAGTTCTGAACTCAGGTGATCTTCCTGCCTCAGCCTCCTGAATACCTATAGGCACATATCATCATATGAAGCCAACAGTTTAAGACTGAGTCACTGTTACTACTGTAAGGACATCATTGTGAACCTGCACGCTCAGAAAGCATCAAGTACAAGGACCTAGGATATGTTCTGCTCATGTACTGAACCTGCCTACTGTGTGAGCTATGGTCTAAAGGCTATAAACATATTTTTTCATTAAATGTAAAAGCACATGTATGTACATATAGGTAAAAGTTATGAATATAGTAATATGTGCACATATCTGCATGTGCATAAGATTAACTTTTTTCATCCTTTAAAAGTGTTTTCCCATTGAATTAATTAGCAAATATTTCTATCTAGGAAAATATTCATTTGGATTATAAGATGCACTTGGGGTTTGAACCAAACAATACTATAATCAGGAATAATTACTATGAATGTGGTAATTTTCTGTGTTAGTATGCACATCCACTTGCCGAACTAAACTTCTGAGCTGCTTCATGATTTAAAGTTTACAATGTAAGAGAGGGAAGCTACAATGCTGTCTGATCTTTTAAAACACATGTGGGAATTATAGCCAATAAAAACATATGCACATGTTTTATAAACATGAAACTTAGCAACTTTGTATCTGGTAGCTCAGACTTTATGGGGCACTACCTCCTCCTAACAAATATATAAGCCATGCGTGTAATTTCAGCTACTTATTAACATTACATTATTAACATAACTTATTAACATAACATTAAGGACAGAGGCTTTTGCTAAGTTGACAACGCTCAGTGACTTTCTTGCCTCATCTTCTACTGGAGTAGCTGGGAGGGACAACAGAAGCCCACTACTGAGTCTAGTTGAAGCCTTGTCTTATCTCAGAGGAATAAAAACAGATTGTTAGGGGTTATGAAAATGTGACCTGGGTACCAGCATATTTAAATTCTCCTCCTGGAGAGGATAACGGTTATAAGCGAGGAGAACCTCAAGACGCAGCTCAGAATGGTCGCCCAGTGTTACCTGCCTCATACCCACCTGGATTCAGAGACTGATTCTGAAGGAAAAAGCCGGGCTGCTGAGGCTGGCTCACCAGGTTGTAACCCCACAGCGCAGGCTGCGGATGATGCATCATTTGGGAGGACATGGGGGAGTAATTAGGAGGCACTCGGTATATGCTGGTCTGTTGATACTCCTTCAACAGAAATATTAAAAACAAATTAACTTGAATATGCCACACATGGATAATCAATATAGGTTCTTCCTACTCAGTTACGCGAGATGATCCGGTCTCAGAACTCAAGGCTGTTTTTTTTTTTTTTTTTTTTTTGTGAAAGGGGAGAGGATATAAATGGTGACCCATTTCCTTAAAAATGCTCATTCAAATTAATTTTTTCTTTGCTTTAAAAAGTGCTTAGCTCAATAATATTCACCTAACACATTTAAGGTACTAAGTTCAGTCTATGCTACCATCTTCCCACCACCATCACCAAAGAAAGGAAGAAAGGAAGAAGTTATATTCCTTACAGCAGACATAAAAAAATAGAATAATAATGACAATTAATAATGGTGATAATAATAGCCACGTGATTTATCTAATACTAACATTGAACAATTCCTATAACTGAAAGAAGACAACTCCTGCAGGCCTCGTCTTGGAAGGGCTTACCATGGGTCCGGATAAGAACTGAGTAAGAAAAGTCCACAGTGCTATCATATGGGGCCTGGATAGTGTCTTACCCACAGTTTTCAAGGCAGCACTCAAAAAAGCCATTCCCCAAGTGCCCATGCCTTCTCCTCCTCATAGCAGAGACAGATCCCAAAGACCACACCAGAAAGTCACAACTCCCTCATCATCCATCCTTTCTCTAGCATGGCCCTAGAGGATGAAGGACAATGAAAATCCCAGTATCCTTTGATTTTACAAAAGGATGTAATCTGACTGGGAAGAAGTAACTTCAGGAGAAGGGTTGTGAATATATTTAGGTAAGGCTTTTGTATATGAAAAGCTGCCCTCAGCCATGTGGCTTGGCAGGCCAGGGAGTCCCAGGTTTGAGAGAAGGCACTGGTACTCAAGTAGCATCTGAAAGTGACAGCTGTCACCTCTAAAAGTATTAATCACCAAGCTATCATCCAAGAAGCATGATTCAGCGTTGACCCAGGTGAATGTAATGGCAACTTCTCATGAACTCGAGTGCTTTCTCATGAACTCTGCTCTAAGTACATCCTCCCTGTCAATCACGAACATCTTTGAATTCTATAGAAAATGTTTTGAAATTTTCTCTCAAGTAAACTCGAGTAATTTCAAATAAAAAAGCTATTTTAAATAATGCATCTCATATACTATAAAATAATTTCTGAATTATCATCTAATAGGTATCAGGTATTTAAAAAGTAAGAGAAAAAGTGTGAGACGGTTTTACACTAGGTTTATTTTATCTTTTTATAAGATCTGAAAATAGGTTAAAGAATACCTGTGGGCGTAGACGATACAATGGCAAAAAAATGAAGTCTCAGGACCAATCATTCAAAATAAGGTATTTAGACAAACTTATTAATAAAAGTCTTTAAGAAAGTAGACTCATATACTTAAGAAGTTTCAAACCCAGGGAAATTATGAGGCTTATTCACTCAATATAACTCATTACTGAAGTTTAAAGTTAAATAGTTATTAAAAGTATAGATTGAGCCAGGTGTGATAGCTCATGACTTTAGTCCTAAACTTGGAGGCAGACGCAGGCAGATTTCTGAGTTAAGTCTAGCCTAGTCTACAAAGCAGTTCTGGGACAGCCAGCGCTATATAGAAACAAATCCCACAGCCCTACCCCTAAAAAGTGGCAAGTGAAAAATGAAAAGCTTTGTATCTGTCACCCATGAGAATTCATTTATTAGTACAAAAACTTGTTAGGAAGCACCATGTAAGAAAGCTGATACCATTCTTTTGAATGTTTCTAGGTATACAGTTTGGCCATGGGTAAATCCCATCCTACTTGCCCATGACCCAGTCTTTTCCTCACATCCCCCACTCACATCGATGCGCGAGCTCGATTTTGTCTTACGCTTCCTTCCCTTTGTCTTCTTCTCTTCATCAGCTGTAGTTTTTCCTTGATCTGACAGATCAGCTGATTTCCTTTCTGGTTCCTGAGAAACTGGAGATGTGGGTTCTTCCTCTTCCTCCTCAGGAGGTAGGGGCAGTGGCTCGAGGTAGTAGCTTCGGGGCTTGGGCATGGTGTGTGTGTGGTACAGAAGGAAGTGGTGCTGCTCCTCATACTTGATCACCTTCCGGTCCACACGGACAGTGCCGAACCAGGCCCAGGACAGAGGAGCTGGGTTCTTCTGACCCTCAAACAGGTCCCATGGGGACACTTTCTGCTTTGTAGAGACCTGGAGACCCTATGGGAAAAGAATGTTCTGTGACAACACAACCTGGCCTGTTCCCAACTCACTGGGCAAGCTTGCAAGCATGTGGTTAGAATGGGCTCAGGGAACTCAGCAGACAGGAATACTCATTTAAGTTGTATAAACTGGGGTTCAGAACTTCGGAAGTTCACTTCTCCAGATCTCTGTACCACCTGATACTCCCCCTTGATGTATCTAAAGGTAGTTTACAATATTAGTATAAAATGACATTTTCATTCAAGTTTGTTGTAGAAAATATAGTTTCTCAAGTATCCTGCAAATTTGGTTTTATAATACTAAATTATAACCATCTTAGGAATCCATTATTTTTAGTATTATACAAGATTTAAAAATCAATATATAGTCTGCCTCTGATTGGACTTATATTCACTTGAATCCAATCTATATGAACTCAATTCAGTATGTATTTCATGTACACGTACGTGGCTTTCTCTGAATAATATGTATTGAGAGAACCTAATTACAGAAACAGGTATAACACAAATTAAATCTTTCAATTCCAAGGTATCTTAACTGGATCCAGGTAAGGAATTCAATTTTGTTTCTGAAAAATAGAATGCTTTTATTTGTAACACTAGTGGGTGACATTTCTTGGTAACTTCTCAAGTATACCAATTCAAAGACCTTTTTCCTCAAAAAACGGCCAAGGTACCTTCCCCCCTCCCCCTGGATGTGAGCATGTCTGTTCTTCCTCTTTAAGTGCGACTTCTTTTAACACTACCAGTAATGTCACCACCCCGTGCTGTCTGTCATGTGATGAAATCGTTTTCCTGAGAAGAACTCACATCTAAATGGATCTGGATGCCTTCTGCTAGAAGCCCAAGTCATCCTGACTGTGACTCCTGGTTTTCCTTCCATGGCCACACTGCTATGGCATTTGGGCTAACTGAATTCTGGTGGCGTGGCTTTCCTCTTATCAGTCACCTTCTTTCTTGCCTTTCCTTAAACTGTCCCTACCTGTCCTATACTTCTCTGTGTGTCTCTTAGTCTGTCAGAATGGTCAGTGTGTCCACTATTGTCGGAACCCTGTTCTGACTACCTCTGTTTGTGTGACTTAAACAGTTCCCCGTCGGCGCTTCCTAATCCTCTCCAGACCATGACCTGCACATCCCATAGCATGTGAAAGTGCATCTCCTTCCCACTAAGGGTAGGGATTCCCTCAACCATCTCTGCAGCTGCAGTGCCAATGGCTACTCAGTGTACTTTGAAAGAAAGGCTGACCCTTCTATTTTTTTAAAAAACCTTCTAAAGTATCTTATAGAAAACAAATGCCCATCTAATACTGCTTCTTTGAGAATATGTAGTGTTGTAACACAACTTTTACTTAATACTGCTTACTCAGCACATGATTCTTATCAACACACATTTTCTTATATAAACAGTTTGTTTCCTATCTTGATGTAAAATAATAATTTTATTTTACTTTTATTTCTTATGCTAAGCTGTTGCTTGACCTTTTTTGGTAGATTCTAGAAATTTCCTTAAGTCCAGATAAGCATTTTAAATGGAGCGCTTCAAAGATAATGGCTTTTTTTGTGAGGCCAATAGCTATTGTGTTTTGATAACAAAAAATATATCACTGAAAATTAAGAAATGTCACTTGGCTTCTATAACTAGGTATATTTATATATGAAGAAAATAACATTTACTCTTGCCTGTTTTTTATCAATAGAGTCAAATCCAGCAATTTTGTTTCCCTTTGTATCGATCAAAGAACCCATGGGTTCACACGTGATGACATCGCAAGTTTGCTTTGGCAAAGGTAGCAACTGTCGAACTTTGTCAATGCTTTCTGACCTCTTGTCTCCTAGTTCTTTCTAGAAGAAAAAGGAAAAAAAAATTGTAAAAGCAAGAGAGAAGTGAGGCAAAAATTCTGACTTTACAATGAAGCAAAAGCTAACAAGAAGGAAGTTCCCCGGTGACACATTTCCTTTTTTTAAGAGTTAGTATGTCTTTAGTCCTTAGCACAGTCTATGGAACAGCTGCAAATTGGACTGATGAAATGTTTCATTTCTTCTATTCAAGTAGAAAATAAGAGTGCACACAAAGGCAGTCTTGTTCTATAAGACAAATCAGAGTGCTGAAATGACAAAACGCCAGTGTTACTTGCTGTCACACAGCAGGAGCTGCCGCACGGACACTTTCCCGTATCCAGGGTCATACTGCAAGGTAACCATTAGCTATTTTACTGTAAAGTCTTCAGATTATGTATTTGCAATGTTTTTGCCGTTTATGTCGGAGACTGTTAGAGGGTTTACAAATTCACTGCAGAGCTCATTTTTTTCACTTGCATGTGTAAATCCAAGCATGGGTTTAACTGAAATCTGGCACTGAAGTTTGGTTAGATACCTGATAATGTACTTTTAAATTCCTTAAAAATTAAAACACATTTAATTGGGGTACACTTTTTCAGAAAAAAATTGTTCAGATATCGTACTTGTAATTTTGAAGGACTGACAGCCTGAGTAAGAAAACAAATAATCACAATCTGTTGAATCAGCTCCACATGTAAATTAATGAGCAGGAAATCAGACAATAATCCATAAACAACTTGATTTCAGAACAGGGGCTGATCACAAGCTTACTTTCAGTTTCTTTACTAAATTCATGTATGCGCGTTTGTTCTCTTCTGATCCCCCGGGGGAAGCATTTGATAGGTCAGAAGCCAACGTCCCATTGATTAAAACACCCAGCATGTCAAGAACCGTTGTGAATAATTCACTGAGAGGAAAGAAAAACTCATTTTATTCTTAAAAAACAGGATACACATAATTATCTAAGCATTTCTACAGAAAGTGATAAATTTTTAATGACAGCTAAATCAGTAAGTGGCAGAATTTACTGTCAGTGTATCAAAGTTTGTACCATGCATGCATGCATGCATGCAAAAAAAAGGTATAAAATGATAAAAAAAATAAAAAATAAAAACATTAAACAAAACAAAAACCCAACATACTTGTTAGTGTGCATGTCAACAGTTCCCGAAGTAATTATCTGGAGGAGTAGGAGGGCCCAGTCAGTGGTTCCCTGCGTGCTCCGCTGTACCGTGTCAAACATTCCTCCTACCTAGCATACAAAATACAATAAAGAATTTGTATCTCTAGGAGAAGACATTACCCCTGCTACTATATGTGCCCAAATGTTGATTTGTTAAAACAAAAGAGATGTTAAGAACTTGCTCTTGCTAGCCATACTATGGATTATCCTATAACTGTCTCCTAGCTATGTGGTTATCACTGTTTAGGGTTCTCTCCACAGAGTATAGCTAAACGTATCAAAAAGAGTAACACTTGAACGTGGGCACGCACAGAATCAGCTTCCTTTTCTTACTAGTCTCTCATGGCACTTAGTTTTAGACATAACTACAGTTACATGAAACCTGAATAGTATCAAAGCTCTGTCTCATTACCTGCAATTTTGTGATATTCTATTATTATTATTACTATTTTTTATTATTATTATTATACAGTAATAATCCTGCCATTATAATAACTCCAGAAATGCTCTTTAACAGGGAGGGAATGCTGAGGAACAGGTACTGTAACAGTCTGCCAGCTCCTGTGAGGTCAGAGTGCTGAAGGCCAGGTGAGAAATTTCCCAGGGAAATCAGAGAGACAAGAGCAATCGCCCAGGGCACATTTAGGGTTTGTCAAGAGAAAATTTAAGGGAATACAAAACGTGGTGAGAACTTTCAGATTTCTATAAAATATTCTTGTGAGATTTATCTTTTCCTGATCAAGTTGACAGAATGTCTCTCTGTGAAAAATTAGAGTTCACAGATCTTTATGGTTGTAAAATAAAACACAGTGAAAGCCAACATCCGTATTAAAGTAAGGGCTTGTCGGACCTCCCGTTAGCACTGCACAAGGAGAAGGAGATCTGGAAGATGGAGCCTCTGGGGTGGAAAACACAAATAGGTGCTTAAAACACTAGTGTCTGGAGGTCAACCCAGACAGGAAGGACGGCAGCTAAGGAAACAGAAGGTTTAAGAGAAAGGGAAGTAGGTATGGAGTCAGAAAGAGGAAGGCTTCACTCTGTCATGCAGATTCTGTCCACAGAAGACTGAAAGCTGGTATTACTTTCACACAGAGAGATGTGTAATGGAAATGCTTGCCAAGGTCCTTACCAGATTCAGGCGGAGCTGCAAAGCCTCATGCATCATCTGGCGGGCTTTCGTATCATCTTGGTATCTCTCTTCCCTCCAGTTACTTAAAATCTAAGATTGGGAACAGTGAAAGAAAAAAGAAATCCTTTTGTTCTTTGCTATGATGACTCTTACATGTTTAAAATTAAGCTTTACAGTGACAGCTAAAACTTCTGAGCTTTAACAAATTAACAAAGTTAAAATCTTTATCTTCCTCTTCTTCCAGACAGACAAAATCCTAGTTATTTTGTAATTTATTTCCTGGGTAGCTGGGAGAAGAACATCTTACCTAATTGCATATATATGAGTGTGTAAGTGTGTGTGTGTGTGTGTGTGTGTGTGTGTGTGTGTGTGTGAAGGAGGTAAAGAACTTGATGTGCAAATCTAAAAGATCTGAGGTTCACTGAGTGTGATGCATGTGACACTGGACAAGATTTTACCTCAAAATAATAAGCTAAGAAAGGACAAGAGATAACACTCAGTGACAGCGAGCTTATCTAGCATGTATAATGTCCTAGGTTCAACACCAGCACACATGCACGTGTGTGTGCGCGCACACACACACACAAACAAACGGAAAAAAGCTAAAAGGTATGACTATGGTAAGGACAAAGGAACAGAGAACTCTGGCAGATTTACTGAGGAACAAGGTGAACAGAGACCTGCAGAAAGGGCAGGAACAGGTCTGATTAACACCTGATGGGGATCCTTCCAGGCAACAAAAGAAGGAAGTACTCAGGCACCTAAACCAGAATGCTGGCCCAGCCTCGTGAGGCTTGAACGAAAGGGAAAACCCATTGGAAGAGACAGCAAATGACCAGTCGGGAGTGGCTCTATTAGTCCAGCCTTGGAATTTGTAGTCTAGGTATGAGGAGAAATATGAGTGCTTTATATTTAAAGGGCTGAAAGCTAGACAGAGAAAAGACCTAGCCAATCAACTCTCATTACAAGCCACTGGGCGGGGTTCACCTTGTTTTGTGTCAGGATAATCTGTCTCACGAAACCAATCTAACATCTTTCATTGATTCCACGCTGCCAGGCAGGTGCAACAGAGATCAATAAGCTAGCTGCTAAGCAGTGTGCACCAACTTAATTTTATAGTCTTTACATATCTGTCAATGCATAATTAATATGTCTGTTAGCTTTCTAGTGACCATGACTGTGGGACGTGGATTGTGTTTCCTAGTATCTCAGAGAGAGAGCATTAATCTAATGTCTTATTATGACATTATCATGAAATCATAAGAGGGAAACAATGAATACCATCGGAAAGAGACTGGCCTCGCTTAATATTCTGCACTTTACCTGGTTAACTTGATTCTGCAGAGATGTTAGGAGGCCTTCCCGTTGCTCATCTTGCCCCTTGAGGCAGGTAAGGACCAAGGAGAGGAAAGGTTGCTGACTCAAAAGAGACATGCTACAAAGGAAGTATTGACAGATCTAGTTAGAAAGAATGGCTTGCCCCTGTTGCAACAGCCGGTCTTTCCAGTAGACTCACTCACTCTTGCTTATTTACTACTAAAGGACAAGGTGGTAAAGCACCAGAGTACACTTGGGAAGGTGACACCTTCCTGGACTCTCGAGATTAAAAACCACTGGTAAAGCTTGTGAATGGCAATACTCTATCGCCCTGGAAGGTATTCCCAAAGCAACAGAAACTTACAGTGTATGTGATGAACTTGCTTTATGTTACTAAGGAAATGTTTAAATATATAGGACAAAGAATATCACTGTATGCCGAGAAAACCAAAACAAAGAACAATCAAAACATACCAGAGAAATTGCTCTAAGGAAACTCTTCTTTAGGAAGTGCATCTCTCTGTATGCTTTGACTATTCTAGAGGCCTGTGGTTCTTTGCTATATATTTCTCAAAGGCCAATGGCAGAGTCTTGGTAAAGTTAGGGGGGAATACAACAAGGTCTGAGGCCTCCAAAAATGCAAGGTACTTGCTGGAAACATCTTGTGCCAGACTCTGACAGAGCCTATGGCCTCAATTGGAAAGGGGGTAAAATTTCATTTACAATTTTCATGTTAACAAGATATCTTCTATTAGAAAACAATGGGCAAACTGACTAATATAATAAAAAGAAATTTTTCATAAAGAATAGGTCTAGGCCAAAATGTCTGAATCAGGAGCTGTGTAGGTAGCCAATAAAGAACAGTCGGTTGTGATAGTATTATGAACTCAATCTTTAAGTTTATAGAATGAGGAAATTATGACTTTTCTCTTTAAAACTTCTTGGACATTAAATTTATACTATAAATATTCCTCTTCAATAAGATGATCTATTTTCAAAAGCAATTACATGAAACCTTTTCTTGGGCATGAAATTAATGAAATAGTTTTGGCAGCTGTTATGACTAGTTTTAAGCAAGGGTCTACAACAAGGTTCCTAAATTTAGAAAATCAGTAATTATTTCAAGGTCTAGAAGGTCAGAACTAACAACAAGCCTGTGTGTTTCAATAGCTTTGCAGTGATTTGGATACACAGTCAAGGTTGGGACCTGGTGCCCTAAACAGATCCTTGCTAAACAGAGAGTTTCCTGTTCTCCTATAAGCCCCGTCCCTGTGGTGCAGGCTGCCATGCGACTGTGATGTAAGCTCCTAGGCTTCCTTCGGGTTCTTCAGATGCCAGCCTTGACGATGCTTGCCTTCTGCCAGCCTACCTTTTCTGTTTCTGCCTATCTCTTTCCTTCTTTGAAGAAGAACCCAGGTGCTGTCCCTTCTCCAGCTCTTCCCCAGCAGCTTTCAACACTCTTCCCTGCACAGACGTCGGCAGCCTGGCGATGAGGGGGGCCACCAGCCACACACCCCTGCGTTCAGAGGAACTAAAATCAGAAACAGGCGTTACACCTGAGAAAGCAGCTGTCTCTGCTCTCACAGACCATGCAGATACCCCAACAGTTAAACCACTGGTGTCTAAGACACACACTTCTAGATTTCTCATTTCATGTTTGCACGTTCTCCTTTTGCCTAAGACCAGACATTTGCTTATACTTTATACCCACATCTGTCAAAGAATAAAAGGTGCTGTTCCGGGAAGGTATCTGGCATAGTAAACTGTTTTCAGTGACTCGTGGATCCTGCCTTTCTGACCACGAACCACCCTTGCCTCTATGAACACTCTAATTTTCAGTCATGGTGATGATATGCAATGGTATTGTGTTCAAGCTAAGGAATGAGTGATCATTAAATTCAAAACCCCCTGTTCACACTTTTTACCAAAATGATGATATGCAAACCAATCTGTCTTTTGTGATGAAAATAATTACTTTATGATTTCATAAGCCTACTAAGTTCTACCATGAATGCAAATTACTGTATTTGTACAAAACTGTCATTAAAGACACATACATAGTGTGTTATATTTAATGAATGACCCAAAGTTAGTAGTACTATCCATCAAACTTAAGTACATCTGGACCTACAACAAAATACCTAACGTGCCAAGACACCTCTCACCTCACTTTTCCCTGCTAACTGGCTGAATAACAGCAACTGTCCTTGTAAGTTATTATTTCCCTTACATTTCCTGAAGCTTCATAAAAATGCATTATGATAATCAAGATTACTGTGACATGTGAAATATCAGTGGTAGTCCAACAAAACCATAAAGTAATACCTTAAGAATGTCTTTATTCCATTCTGCCTGGTGCCACTTGGATCAACACTTCCAATAACATTTGGGTTGAAGAGGCTCATGCCAGAATTGGAGGCGTTATTATTTAGGTCTGCAGATTGCTGGAAGACTTCTATTGTTGCCTTTGCAATATTGTCCAGTAAGTTATTCATTTCGGCCACAGAACCAGAGCTCTAGTGTCAGGAAAAAGAAAGCTAACTTGTCTAATGCACTCCTTGATTCTCAAACACCTATGATGTTCTGCTTTTTTATTCAGTTCACATGTGTGCTTTCAGTATATACTCACAGGGTCCTTCAAGCACTGTTTGATCATGAGCTGAAGCTCTAGCCAGGACTGTCTCAATGTCCACTGCTCAAGATTCTGGAGAAAATTCAGAGAATTATAACATTAAGAATACTGAGGATATGCTAACATAGCCTTACAGTAATACTCATACCCAACAAGGCAACTCACATGTATTAAGGACTTCCAATCACATGCCAGATAAAAATAAACATACACAACAGAGTAGATTCAAGCATCAAAATACGTTCCCCAACCAGCTAGGAAGTAGAAACCAAAGAAGTATGACTTCTGTCAGGGTCCATTTACCAATAAGCCAATCTCATTCCAAAATGATATATATCTTAAATAACACATTTAAAATTGAGCTATCATGACTATTATGTCTCAAGTAAATACTCCACTGAGTTAAAATACCAATATCTGCCATTTGCTACTGACTGTATCTACTGACTAGCCAGCGGTTGGCAATGTCACCATAAAGAAAATTACAGAAGGAAACAAAAATCAGAGTTAAATTCAAGGTCAGAAACAAAAACAGCAACAAAGTAGTTCTTTCTAGAATCACATTGTAATGGATGGCCTCACCAGCATCTTCGGAATGGACCACTTACCTGAAGAATGCGCTTAATGTGCTGTCTTTGCAGGTTGTCCCCCTCTGTACACTCCTTAATGCCGTGAGGGTAACAGATAAGCTGCAACAGTTTCTGTGCTTGCATGTTTGAAAGCACGGGGTCCAATATCAGTTCTTTGTCTGTACATAGTCGCTCTGGCTCTTTTAAGCAATGTTCTCCTACCCATTCCTAAAAAGAAGCCCGTGGTTAGAAGGTCACATACTGATTCTACCTGACTATTGATTATAGTCTTGTTTCTCAGAGTAAAATGATATAAGGCTAGTAAAGACAGTCTAATGAAATGAAGTTAATGGAAAAATGGGTGGACAAAAGTTTGCATTCACACATACACAAACACGTACACACATACACACACATGTATGTGTGTTGATTCTTTTGTTATTGTTTTATTTTTCTTTGTTTTAAGACAAGGTCTCAGGTATTCCAAGATGGTCTCCAAGTCAGTATATGGCCAAGAACAACCTTGAACCACTGATCCACCTTTTCTGTCCAGTGCTGGGATGACGGGCCTAAATTTAACAACCTTGAACCACTGATCCATCTTTTCTTTCCAGTGCTGGGATGACGGGCCTAAAGTGAATGCCGTGTCTTCCTGCCTACCAGAGCTCCCTGCATGCTCAGCAAGCATTCTTAATCAAATAAGCCATGTTGCCAGCTAATGGGAAAATTTCAAAACAAAATTATAACACCTGCATCTTAAAAAATCCAAGGAGGGGAGGGCTTGGATTAAAGCAAAAACCACTTAAATCTGTAGGACAGAGTTAAACTTTGGGATTTTTTTTTTTTTAATAAGGACTTACTCTAGGGTAACCAGGTTTTTGTTCACTTGTTTGCTTTTACTTAAAATTTAGGGACAATAATTTTATGCTATACATGATTTTCATAATTTTAATGTGATATATTCTGGTAAACAAGTAAAGTATACAAATATTTAGAAGGTTTTTCTTTGTGACACTAACATTTTCCTTTACTAGTTTTTTCTTTTATTAAATGGCACCAAGAAACTGTCGGTATCAGAGCTCAATTTGAACCCAAATCTGTCTCAGCTGGAGTCCCCTTTACTGTATCAGTTGCTCAGCTCAGGTTACTTATTGAAGTTATATAATTTCACTCTCCATATTAGCTGCATTAAATCAAATTCAGACAAAGGCACCCAGATAAGGTATGCTGCTTTTCTAGGTATCACATTATTATTTATTGACAAACTGATTAATAGGTTTCTTTTGTTGTTGTTATTGTTGTTGTTGTTTGTTTTGGATACTGGCACTGTAGGATAGGCCAGAAGTGTCCCATAGGGCTTAGAGCAAGTCTCTTGAGACACTAAACTTGGCCAGCTCCATCTGGCTCCAGGCATCTTAGAGAATAATACACAGTCTAGTGATGCCACAGTGTGCTCACAGTTGGGCGCTGATACACAATTGCCATCAATAACTCTAGAGCTGGTTAAACATATCACAGTCAAAACCAATGTAAGTAATCATGCATTTAATACAAGCTACAAAAAATATGTAATGTATAGCATTTTGAAAATAAAAGATTTTTGAAAGTATGGAAAGATAATCAGAAAATACTGAAGCTAGTCATCTGAGCAGAGCCAGACAAGAAGAAGGTGACCAGTGGAGACAGGTTACTGTGTACACTTTTGTGTGAGCTTTTGAACGTATGCTATGATACAAGCATTAGATGGGACCAACAAAGCAAAACACAAAAAAACCCACAAAACACCCCAAAAACAAAAGCAAAACCAAAGACAAAACAAAGCAAATAAATGTTAAAAGAATTTTAAATTTTAAAGAAGGAACATGTTCACTGTGAGACAACTGTAAAATTATTTGCCTTTATTTTTCCCTTTCCCTGTTTTTCCAAATAATATTTGAATGCATTATCCTAAACTCTTCAAAGAAACTGCAAATCAATCCTCAGAGCTCTCAGAGCCCCTTTTCCTAATGGTATATGCATAACAACTGGGAAATCACGTCAGGTGCTGTACAGGAGACAAGGCAACAATGTGATTACTAATAGGAAGTGAGCAAATATAAATACAACTTTAAAGGATTAGATTAGAACTAGAAGTATCAATGTGAGTTCATAATCACACACACGCACACACGTGTACAAATATGCGTACACTGCGTGCATGCATGCATGCATGCCTGTGTGTATACACACTGAACACAGTGGATAATGCTTATGTGTGAATGTGTGTAGAGCACAGAGGTTGATGTCAGGTATCTTCTTAGATCATTGTCCACCTTATATACCAAGAAAGCATCTCTTAGATGAACCCGGAGCTTATCTACTCAGCTACTCTCCCTAGCCTGGTTACCCTAGGATCCTGGACCTCCATTTCCTGAGTGCTGAGATTGCAGGTGGGCTGCCACGGTCCTCCAGTACATACATGAATTATAGGGATCTCAATTCTAGGCTTTATGCATGCTTGTACAGCAAACACGTTACCACTGATCTATCCCTCAGCCCTCAGGCTCTGCTTTCTGAGTACCAGTCTCTTAACAGGCAGAAATGGCACTCCTTAAAATGGCTGTTTATAACTATGAGGCAAGGAATATGAGGGATGGGTAAAGTAAAGCAATAGTTCTCTAAAAGGATAGAAATATTCCAATTATAACAAGATAGGTTAACAGATTCCTAATATGTCAGCCTCAAACGAGCTGGATATTGAACAAACTATGGACAATATATTATAATGCACACAGATAACTAAACAAACGAACAATCACAGAAGTGTACGGTCTTTGTAGAACATAAACTGATCATGTAGAGGAACAAGAGGAACTCAAGAAAAACATAACATTTTGCAGCCATCACAGTAAAGACTGGTTTTAGACAAGAATTACAATAGTTACTAATGAGGAATGGAGTGGGTAATGAGGATCAGAACTTTTGCATCATCTCAAAGCATCTTCCCAAAGATTACTAGTTAAGTGAAAACAAAGCATACTAACAATCTAGGGGATCCTGAATCTAGAGATGCTTTTATCAAAGCTTGCATCACCAATAGGGCAAATGAGTACTGTGTGTAATCAGTAGTGGTTCCCTAGAATAACACAGTTTCAGCTCTGAACTCTCCCCCACTCCAATGATCTGAAGTTAACCTCTAGAACCTTAGGCAATTCTAACAGCACTAGAAAAAAATCAGAAAATCCCCTATAGATGAGAAAAAGATTATTGCACCAAAGTTTAAATTATGATTTTTATTAACTAAACTTTGGTTATGACAAGAAATGAAGACGACGTAGGTATTCAGAAGTAAAGCAGAGCACCGAAAAGAGATACTACAAATACTACCATGTACTTGTCAACTGTTAAGACAGAAATACAAAATGTCCAAAAATTAGTGAATCTGTATAAGGATATACTAGAAGTCTTCATGGTTGCAGCTCTTTAACAAATTTGAAATGGTTGGGGGGGAAAAAAGGACCATTTAAATACAATAATAATAAATAAATAGTGGACAGCGGCCTCCCACAGAACAGGTACATAGTCAAAGTAGACGCCATCTGAACCAAATGAGTACCTGCTGGCAGATGGTCCTCAGTACATATCTAGCGTATTCTCTCAGATTGGCAGTTTCTATGGAAATATTTTTCCCATAGGATTTTGAGTTCTGCGAGGTGGCCCAGGCATCCTCAGCATTCCCGTCACGTCGTAAACCTCTCATGCTGAAGTCATCGTTCTTTAAAGTGTTGACATTGTTACTGCCAATTTTGGCATCCCCTAAATAACAGAATCATAAAAGCAAAATCACAGATGTTCAAAATATTGCCCCAAATATGTAGTAAGCAAATTAGGCTAGGTTTCAGGGACTTGAGAGGTGTGAATTGTATTATTTTTGAACGGCCAATATCCAGCAACAGAAAGGGTGGATCAAGAAATACATGAAAGGAAACAAAACCATTGGATATGAAGAAGCATCAAAGTCAAGATTCATTCCTTCTTTTGGTTTACAGAATTTAGTATTCTTTGACTAGCCTTGAAAAGGCCATTATGAGTGACATTTAATAACCAAAACACATTGATTTCACCAAAGCTTCAGACACGATTGTACTCAAGTTTATCTGAGTCATAGACAAGGAAGAAAATGGGTTACTCACCCTTTAGGAGTCCCTTTCCCATTTCTTCTCTTATAATGACTTATTTTCTATCCAAAGGTCAAGAGAAAAGTTTTGCCTTAGCCCACCTTACTATCAACTTCTTGACAAGAGAGATTATTTCCCTGGGGATGGAAAAGGGCAACGCACACTAAGGGGGCTCTGGAGAGCAGTGCTCTCTACACACAGCCTGTGTTTTCCACCTTCCTCTCTACAGCATCCAGCTTAGACCTTACCTGACCAATCTCTAACACACTGAGTGAGATGAAGGTAAGGAAGGTATTTGTCTCCCCAAAACACAGAGCAGTGTATATTTGGATGAAATAAAAATCTTTAGCCACGAAAGGGAAAAAAAAAAAAATCAAGTGAGAGAGAATTTGGTAGTGAAATTGCCAGACAGCAGCTGAGACTTCAAACTTCTGCCCATAGAAATCAAAACAAGCTTTGACAAGAGGATTTCCTGAAACCAGCAGCTGACTTTAGGAGCGGCCTTATGGAGTAAAAGCAACCCCAGATCAACGCAAAAACACAAGCAAACAAAACCAACACAACCAACCAAATAAAAGCAAACAACCAACCAATTTGAACACAAGGTCAATCCCCAAAAGGTTTGGACTGTGCTGAAAACAAAAAACCAAAAAGGAAGACTCTTTTATTGGGAGGAAGAGTAATCAAAATGTCCTAATTAATGTCAACTTCAAAAATCTTAGAAGCAGAGGGGCTGAAGCTGTCACTCAGAAGCAGAGTCTATCTGCATGAGACCTTAGGTTCTATCCCCAGTACCACTGACACCACCACCACACGTTAACAAAGCAGAAAAACAACAGAAATAAAAACATATCTCAACTTACCAATGTATTACCATATACTCGTCGTGTACTTTAAAATGTAAAAACAAGTGGCTTTACCCATGGGAGTTTATTTAATTCAACAGCGGTTTTCAAAACTAGCAGACATGTATTCTCTACTATTAGAAGATGTAAATATCTATGTCAATTTCAAGTTAAATTACCATGTAAATTAGGAGCAAAGTTCACTATAATAGTCCTCTTTTTCTATCTTAATATCTAGTTTGGTAAATAAGAATGGGGAGAAGATTGGTTAGAACCACTAGAGTAGATAAGGCAAGAGCAAAATAAGAACACTTCTCAGACCCCTTGTACATCTCATTTACTCTGGATATCAGGTGGACTGAAGTATGCGTGACTATGCTAGAACTTTCTGTAACTGTATAGCCAAAAAAACAAACAGAATATTCTAAGTGAAGCTACGTGAATCTGTCTAAGTTTTCACTGGCATATAACTATGCTGATTCAAATTTCTCAGACCGAGAACCTCCCATATTATCTGAATATCTGAAAAGACTGGCAACTTTACTTGGGATTAGACCAGTTCTACAAACAAGGGACCACTGTCTTGTGGATACGACTCATCTTGTGGATACGACTGAAATATGTTACTGAGCATGCATACTTCCAACATAAGTTTATTAAAAATATATTTCTTATTTTCTCTGATAAAACTTAGAAATAGGTGAAAAGAAATTCAGTTCCTGTCTTCATGACCCCAATAATTATTAATAAGTAAAGTGAACCAGTTCTCCTTACCTTGACTGAAACCAGCAGTTAGTATTGGCTGTATAATATTATAAGGCCCTATAAAGCTCATAATGGAGGCTGGAGCCTTCATGGCATATTGCCTTTTGTTTTGCTACAAAATTCATGAACATTTCAGAAAAGTATGGTTGTTTTTACTTTAAAATTTTTTCATATTTTGAACATATTCTTCCCCCTTCCTAGCTCTCTCCCCTATATTCCTAACTACCCAACTCCATGTTCTTTCTCTTGAAAACTAAACAAACAAAGCTAGTAGGACAAAATAAATAAATAAATAATTTTTTTAAAAAGCAGAGTACATTTTGTGTTGGTCAATCATTCCTGGGCATGGGGCTTGCCCTGGAATGTTGTTGATATAAATAACATTCTTTTGGAGAAAACTGAAAAGATTTGTATATTCTTTTTCATGTATATTCTTTTAAAATGGTTTTTAATAGGCTGTTTTAAGAACACTGCTATTATTCTTTGCCATCCACAAATAATATCTGTCAAGAAAAGTAAGGCTATATTCTTATTTATGTTAGCTAAGGCTCACCTAAATGGAAACCTGTCTATTCAGTAACTCTGTTTAAATCAAAGTGAATTACTTTATAACATGGAGAGACAACTATTGTTTGGTAAAGGCCAATATGAGGTACCCAGAGTTAAAAGTAGGCAATATTGGAGTTCCCCTAATCATTCAAATCCTTTATGATATACATAAAATATCCTGAGGTGATACACTGCCCATGAATAGAAGGCAGCACTATTACCCTTGTTAAATCTGTACAAATAAGAACACAGAGGCAATCTTGGGCATCGTGAATTAGAGGAGGAGCCTGTGCCCCGCCTGCTAATCATCACTCATTCACGCATCACTGCCGCTCCACCTGCTTCATAAAAACCATAGAGCAGAGAATACGAACTTGTTCAGAGTCACAACAGAAGGAGAAATATGAAATTAAAAATCCAGGTTTTCTGAGGTTTTGCACCTGGAATATAATCTGGCTGAAACAAAAAGCTTTTATTAAAAATATAAAGTGCAATTTCTGTCAGTAAATGAAGGCAAAACAATCCTGTGGGTCTGAAGCCCTGATTTACATCAGAATGAAGTAGCACACAATTAAAATCAAACATTAAACATTACTTATATTACAGTTCTCCCAGGGACACCGTAGCTAAGAGACAGAATACTTTAAGTTCCCATTATTTGGGCTTAGGGAAAGCCAACCATTGTTTTTTTTCAGGGACAAACAAGAAAACTATGTTTCTATTAACATTACTTAGAATTTATAGTGGATATAAATTATTTTGCCTCCACTTCTGGTGATTAGCCAAGAAGCTAAAGGCCAAGATAGTCTTACCAAGCATCATAATTGCCTTTAAGACAGCAAAAACAGCTCCCACTTCTATGCTGTTGTGAGCTGCAGCTAAGAGGTGTCTATCACAAGATGATCTTATTCCGGGGAAAGGTTTGCCTATGAAAACAACAACAAACTTCAGCAGACTCTTCATCATCATCGTTAACCATCTTCTGCAATCATTTACAGTCAGTAAGCCCTTTCATTGGTTGTTCATGGGCACTTAATTGACATTAGGTTGCATTAATTGATGCTCCATAGAATCACTAAGAAACAGTGCCAGTATTCTTACTTAACCCTTTCTCTTTAATTATTATTAAAACAACGTTTCTGTTCCTCAAAGAGATGTGGTGCAAAGATTAGTAGGATTCCCACACAGATGCATCCATCTCTGTATGGAAATGATTTAGCACTAATACCCTCCATTACCTCAGGAAAAATAAATAAATGAGTTGTCATCCGCTTAAGCTGAGAGGGCATGGCCCAGAATCAACACAGGGTATACGTGAGGATGAGACTTCTCACCAGCATGGTATCTCCTAAGAGTCCAGGCATTTTTATTGTTTATTAATTCCTCATTTGTATTTCCCAATATATCCTCATATTACATCATGGAAGGTGCTGACAGCCCCCCTTTCAATGGCATGATCTCACTCCTCCATCATGTGCAGATCAAGCCCATGAAAATCAGGGAGGAAATTACAAACTTGACAGCTCACTTGGTCACAGTTGAACCACATTGACAAATAAACCCCAAAGCAGAGCTTTCTCTCCAGGTCAGCTTACCTGATGCCTGAGGGTAAAAGCAGGCCTGCGGGGCTCGGAAGAGGTGAAGCAGGAGGCGGCAAGTCATTCTTGCCCCGGGCTCAGCATCTGCATCTCCACAAGCTGGAAAGAGGGGGAGGAGGTTTTAAAAACAAGCTTCCTTACATACTCCACTTCAAGCTTTTCAGGTTTGCGACTACTAAAATTTCTGTAATATATTAAATAACCCTTCTGTTTAGTATGGTCATTAGTTATATGTTTCCAAAGAACCTTCATGCTGCCTTAAACCCCGCATAAAGCAATGGCAAGTTTCCTGTCCCAGAGTTCCATGTTACTCAGCATAAAAGAGCTACTACAGCTGTAACATCTTTTCCAGGTACCATGCCACCCCACAATGCACACATCCTTCAAAATGGTCCTTTCTCTGTGCTTAAATGGTCATACGTGACTACCAACCAGCAAACAATATCACACACAGCTCAGGACCAGCTTACCTGCTGCTAGGAGAGAGGGAAGTGCGACATGTTGCACGACATCTTCTAGGGAGAAACACTGTCGTGCTATCAGGATAGCAATGAAAGTAGCTAATGAGTCATGGAATGAAAGGTCACTCACCTTTAAGAAAAATATTGACAGGTTTTAATACCCAGCATCCTTTAATGCAGTATCAAAGACTACTATGTATGAGAATACCAGCAATACCCATAAGATCTCTAATCTCTGTATGAACCATCAGAGGGAAATGACTTGCGATTATCTTCTTAGGTCTATTGCTACTATAATAAGGTCAAGCGAGTTTACTCACAGCCTAGTGTTCTAGGTAGATGTGGGCCTTTAACCTGTCAGTTGCATGTGCATGTAACTTAGAGAAGACAATGCAACAGCAAAATCGAGACGCTACTAAAAGGCATATCATAATTGATGCATGCCAATGGAATACAATATGCCATTTATGGGAAAGGCAGGAAGCAGAAGGCGAAGCCTCCCCTCGCAGGAAAACATGACCCACTAACACTAGAACCTTCTTTCCTTTAACAATTAAAGCATTTTTTAAATGTGAGAGAATTCATTTTAAAAGAACTGTGAAAGTTTTGAATTGGCTTCAAATTTTAAAATGAAAGATGAGGGAAATGAAGGGGAAAAAAATTAATTCAGCCACACTGAAATCTCTACATTCTAGATCTCCTTGGAAGAAAATACTAAGAGAACACAACTACAACAATAGCAAGCGTCCTAGTGATTGGTACTAGGTACAGCAAGGCACAAATATATATTTCAGAAAAAAAAATGACTTAGGTCTTCGCTGCTGTGGAAAAGCAGCCTATTACTAATGTATTTTGCACAAATAATATCTTGATCCATGAAATGGAGATAAGGAGGCTGGCCTGTCCATTCAGCACTGAAGCAGTAGAAACAGGAGGCAAGCCTTCAGCTTTACAACTGTCAAGTTTCATTAATAAAAGAGATCTCTGACAAAGATCACCCCAAGAAATGATAAAGGCATAAATGGATAGAGAATCCACATAGATGTTTAAGGCATACGTGTGTGTGTGTGTGTGTGTGTGTGTGTGTGTGTGTGTGTGTGTGTGTGTGTGTTATGGAAGATCAGGAAGTTATGGTACATGATTTGGGCAATCATTCCATCACTCCACAGGCATAGCTTGAGAATACTGAATATCCTGAGTCTACACATGGATTTTCTTATGCAAAACAACAAACTCTGTATACTTAAACTTAAATATATGCTGGTTCTCTTCGTGTATGAAACATTTTATGTACTATGATGAGGAATCCACACTGGGAAAACGAAGCAGCTGAGAATGTTCACATTTAAAACCTTAGCTGCTGGAAATCAGGCAACAGGGAACAGTGGAATCCCTTTTGTTACTTCCATTTTATTTTAATTTGTTGAATTCATCATAATGACATCACTTTTGGAAAGAGAAAAAAACATTCTGGTGTGCTGGAGTTTAATTAATTAAGTAGTAAAAGATTAAATAAATTAGTAATTGGTAAATTAAGAAAACTTACATCCACAGTGCAGAGGACATCATTAAATCCCCACACATGATTTGAAGAACAGCATAGAGCCTTCAGAACCCCCAGCCACTCCGAACTCAGAACTGTACAGCAAGCAGTTAGCTCGGAGGAGAAATTGGCTATGTCATTTATCCTAGAAAAAAAATAAAAAAGAAGACAGGAAAAAGTGAATTGGTACAAATGAGGAATGATTACACATGGCTTCTCTACAGATTACATATTTCATTATCACGAAGCACCGCTTAGATTTAAGGAGATAAGAAATACCCCCTTGTATTTATACCAGGTATAATTATAAGTAGCAACATATAATTATAAGAGGTAAATTAGCATATTTTTGAGTCTATGAATAAACCCTGTCTACAGTTTTACATTTTATAGGAATCAAATGTTAAGGACACAAGGCTGGCGATATTCTGTGCACAAGATCCTGGAGTCAGTCACTAACGCCACAAGGATAAATAGTTAAAGACATTATGTAATGTAACTAGGCCCAAGTACAGTTTATATCAAAAGATAGTGTTGTTTTTAAAATTGTATACGCTTTTCATAATGGATCACCAATAAAAAATATCCACAGCCAAACCAAGAACCCCAAAGCCATGACTTCTCAGGCTAAGTATTTAGTTAGGATATAGTCGTACAGAATAAGAAGTTACTAAAGAAAACCCCAAAGCAGCTCTCACCGGCCAGCATCCTGGTGTCCCATGCACACATTCATGAGGGTGTTGCACACAAAGCTGTACCGATTGGCAGCATTGTCATTGAGGATCTTGCCCAGCATTGAATAATTGATGCTTCTGGCAGAGGGATTCTCAATAAAATCCATCATAAAGTCTGGATCCCAGCGTAAGTTGGAATTTGCAGGCATTACATTATTATAGATGGTCTGCTTTACTTTTGAACAGGCACTACTAAGATTAGAAAAAAACAGTTATAAAAGGAAAAAGGGAACAAAACAAGCAAGAAAAGCACTTCACTTGTGGACATTTTAAGTGGCAACTACTCTAAGACTTCCCTAGACCATCTTTCTACATCCTATTATTATTAATATCAAAATCTTGGTAAACCAGCATTGGTACAATATCTGAGATAGAGTAATTACTTAATGAAGAGATTTTGAAATTATAACTGGAAACAAAAATCAATGTATTTACTATGCCTTCTAACAACTGTTTCTTCCTTAAGAGCAGTTGTAAAGTGTTATAACCTAAAAAAAAAAAATGGATCCAATTACACATGAGGAAAAATTTAGTGTTTTAATTCTGACTGTACACCCTAAACTCTATACCTTTGGGTGTAGTATGCCAAGTAATAGCCACTGTGCCAAGGTTACTGTGGGCTCTACGCGACAGCTGGGACAAATGGAGGCAAACCTCTGCCATCTGATCAGCTCATGCTCTCCAAGGAATACAGATACTACATTCTATAGTGTGTAGAAACTGTTACAGCATGCCTAAAAAGCTCTTGAAAATGGAGAGAGCTGTAAGTTCCCACCTAGCTGGGGCTGTACCCTGTATTTCAAGTCTTCCTGCGAAACAAGAAAACACATTTTAAGAACTGAGTGTTTTCAGTGGGCAACATCTGAACAGATATGGAATCCTAGAAATAAGAGAGAATTAGAGTGTATTCTCCAACGTCTCTCTGCAGACAAGAGGAGAAATGGTATAATCCCAAGCTTCTGATTCCATAAGAGCTTGGCTGCTCAGACCCCCTTGCTGTGGACAGTAAATCCACAAGCAGCAGCCCATTTTCTGCTCAAGAGCTCCACTATGTAGTACAGTCTTTTGGACCAAAATCCAGGCAGATGAAGGTTCTGTTATTAGGGCAACACACAGATCTACTAAACTGCAGAAGCTTTTCTTCTTGTCCTTCTTAAGTTCTGAGACCTACTCCACTCTGCTTTCAAATTCAGACTTCACTGGAGAGCCAGTCTGGCTGGCCAGCCTAACTTCTCTAAACTCTGAGTCTCTGCACCTTTCCTTTCTCCACTCCTTATCTTCTTTATCATACTTCCCAGGAGGAGCTTCTCTGTTTTGATAAGATGCTGGCTGCCACTGAAAATATGCTCTCATTCTTCCCACACTCTGCTGCCTACACCTGGGGAATTGAGCCAAAACTTCAGGCAAGTTCCTTCTGTAACTGTGTGTGTGTCTCAGGAAAACCTGATAGAGCAATGAAAGCCACGCATGCCTTGAGGTCAGACAACTTGTTTTAAATCCGGGCTTCATCATATGTTAAAAATGATCAGGAACAATCATTTGTGGCTAAAGAAACTCACTCTGCTTCCCAGGATAATGACAATTCAAAACTTGAATGGAAAAATTGCCAGAGTTTTGTGGCACTCAAACAGCAGGAGATATGGTTAGTGTTATGCTTCCCCCAAATTTCCTCCCTACACAACTTTACGGTGTTTTAAATAAGATTGTAACAACTTTTTATTACTGTTGTACTAACAGAAATCTCCCTGCTCATGTAGCTTCTTTGTAAATATTTTTCCTAACCTCCAAACAGACCTCTGACTATACACTACTCCCAGAGAGCCCCATTCCATTTCCGTTTCTTCTTGAAGACTATGCATTCATTCTATGTGATACCTACCCTGCTGGTGTTAATAGCACCTTAGTCCACTGATGAACACATAAAAATAAATCCTGTGCACTTAATGAACTCACTTAGCCCACCTGGTACTACATTATAGGAACCATAGGGGCTGTCCCCATTAAAACCAGGGCTGTTGCAAAAAGAAATCTACCTCTAAGAAGTATAAACTGAAAATTCAAAACACAGCAATAGAAGAAAATGAAAATTTTTTTTGTTATTTCATTCAAATATTTTACAAAGGACTATTTTAAATCAAATGGTAACATTTGGATCCCAGAGAGGAGCCAAACCACAAGTAAATATATAATGTATGTAAACCAGTTAACACTGAGGTTTGCAGAATGACTGACTGAGAATGGGTTGTCATTGAACACAAGGTTGTCAGCAAACAGCACCACAGCTGCTGGGTAACAAGGCACATGCACCACACTTGGGGAGAACACCATAAGCAAGGGGAGAGCATCAGCAAGTAGACTGTGCTCCAGGTGTGAGGAACAGAAGGGAGGTTCTGGGGACAGAAGAGAATACACTAAAGGAAAGGAACACAGGAGAGATGAACTCGAACACATCTCAAAGGCCATATCAGAGCTGTGAGTTTTATATTGCATAGATGATAACCATGGTTACCTCACAGTCATCCTTGTTTGAAAGAGTCACTTCAGCAGATGTGCTGAGACTATCTACAGTGAGTCTGGGTAAAGGCAGTGAAGCCAATGAGAAAGACTCTGCAAGCTGGTCCAAGCAAGGGATGCCTATGATGACAATGACTGGGGTATTGAAGAGAGGTCAAATGTGATCCATATATAGAAGTCATAGCTCACAGCATTTCTATGGAAACTGAACACAGAGCAAGGAGGAGCAGAGGAAACCATCACTGACATGTCTTCTGGATTCCCAATACCCTCTGCCACATTATTTCCTTCTGTAATTCCCCAACAGGCACTTAATGTCTGGCACTCATGATGCTAAGCAACAGATGAAAGAAACTGGGGACTCTACTTAAACAGACAATTAAGAAAGCAGATAAACAAATGAAGACGCGCGCTTGCAAAGAACCCTGAAAGACTGTTTCAAGTGAGGTGAAAGCAGAGGCAAAATACAGAATGTTTTTACTCAAAAAGCTGTAACCATAGTTACACAAGCAGCAATGTGTACTAACAGGAGGCCCTAACTTCTGCAAAAATTAATTCAGTATGAACTCTGAGTCAGAGTTCTGAGAAGATAAAAGTACCAAGTTTATAAAGCTATAAACTTTTGGACTTGTTTTAAAAATGTTCCTCAAGCAGCATAATTAATTGACAGGAGTAAAATTCTTGGCAGGAGAGTGGTTGCCATCTGAAGGCTTAATGACAAGCAGGCCAACCTCATACTTAACAGCATTGTCTCGTAATCAACACACGCACTCCTGTGTCATGCCTCAAACATCAGGATTTATCGCAGTGTAACTCAGCTGAGTAAAAACAGGCCATGCAAATAACTGCTTTTAATTCGTGTTGGTTAAGTGATATTTAGAGAAGTGCTAGCCTTCCATTAAAAGCTCATCCACGCATGAGGAAATGATTTGCTAAAGACTAAACAGATTTTTACAAAGAGAGGAAATAAGTTTTAAAACACTAAGTTGGGAAGTGGTAAAAATTAAGGGTATAGAGCCTTGGGAATCACTAGGAAGGAGAAAGATTTGCAACTTTGTGATGCAGAAAGAATGCAGGAGCCAAAGTAGGAGGAAAAGCCTGCTAAAAAGGCAAGACAGGAACAAACAGGACAAGACAAAAGCACTGCCTTCAAGGAGTCTTTTGAGAGACTTCTAAATTTTAAATTCTATTTTAAATTAAAATATAGTCATATACCAGATTTTAATCATGACTTCAATATGATTTACCTAAAACTTCTAAAGGAATGTGAGGTCTTAAGTAAGAGACCCTTTCAGGAGTGGTGTACAGCTCGTCACCTAAAATGTTACCTATATACTAAAAAAATTTTGCAATTACATACCTTTATTATTGTCACTAAGTATTTTAGTATCTGTCTAAATGACTAAAATTTTGCAATTACATACCTTTATTATTGTCACCAAGTATTTTAGTATCTGTCTAAATGACTAAAATTTTGCAATTACATACCTTTATTATTGTCACCAAGTATTTTAGTATCTGTCTAAATGACACTCAAGTAGATCAAACACTTTAGACTAGCTTACATCAGTACACAGAATATAAACAACAATGGGACCATTAACAAATGAAGATGTTCATGTCTGTGGTTTTGTTGTTGCTTGTTTTTGTTGTGTTTTTTTACTTTTTCCTGCTCACCTAAAAAGGTCTCCAAATTTACTTCTGAGGTGGCTGCAAGATACATAGAGGTCATAGAGGTAGGCCAAGATACATCTTTCAGGGGAAGAACATTCCGAGGGGTTGACAACATGCTTCACCACACCACACAACCTGAGGATAGAGATACAGGAATAAAAAAGTCATTATCTTGATAGTATGTGAATAACTAATGAATTCTTTAATGTCTGCCTACCTAGTACTTAGAAATATGTATGAGACATAAAAAGAAACCAGATTGTTCATAAAAATATGAAATTACTAAATATCAATTTTTGTTACACCGAATACTAGAAAAGCTAAAAAAAAAAAAAAAAACTCAGAAATATCCGTAATGAAAGGAATTCTCCACTACGATTAACAATTAAAACTCCATCACTTAAGCTGCTGTGACTAGAAAACAGGAAGGGTAGGCAGAGAAGTTTAAATCAATACAGAGTTTCACAAATTCAATCAGTTGGCAAAGATTGTTCAGTAGTTTGGAAAGAAACAATTCTTCAGTGCAGAAAATCTGCTGAACTTGATGAATCCACGGTTTGGAATCCCATTCCTCTTGTTTATACTAACTGCAGACAACTTGGCTTATCCTATGTAAGAAGGTGAAAATCCATTCTCTTTAGAGGCATCCTTTATAATAATGCCTTTCTTTCCAGAGTACCAACATCACAGTCATTTTCCTCCCTTCAAAACCATGGACTCCTGTGTCCATACAACATGGCCGTCAGTATAGCATAGAAGGAAACACCTGTGTTCCATCCACATGTGTGTCTGACCCCACCGCCACCCTGTATCTGACATAGGACGCCACATAACATGCTACCAACAATATCACAAATGGCTGAGACCCTGAAAAGAGTTTAATAATAATCTTCTGTCTCACTACCATCACTGTACAAAGAAGGCTGTTAGGTGAAGGGACCTGAAGGGGAAGCATACTAGACCACTCTCCACCATTCAGAAGACTTGGGAAATCAAGAGGTGGTAGTCTGCAGTGTTCAGGCCCATGAGGGATAAGCATTCTCCAGCATCAGAGATGGATGCCAGGAAAATAAGTATCCCCGGTAGTCTGAAGGAATGTCACCTGATGGGGCATTTGGTGATTATAAAGAAGGACAACATGCTATGTATGTCTTTCTTGGTCTGTGTTACCTCACTAGAGATTATTTGTTATTGTTCCATCCATTTTCCTGCCAATTTTATGATATCATTTTTTCCTAATGGCTAAGTAATAGCCATTTATTGTGTAAATGTACCATATTTTCTTTGTCTAGTCTTTGGTTAAGGGACATCTAGGTTGTTTCTAATTTCTAGTTATTATGAAGAAAGCCACAATGGACATAGCTGAGCAAATGTGTTTGTAGTAGGATGAAGCATCTTTTGGGCATATGTCCAGAAGTGGTATAGCTAGGTCTTGAGATAGATTCTCAATTTTCTGACAAACCACCACAGTGATTTTTACAGTGGCTGTACGAGTTTGCTCTCCCACCAGCAACGGAGGAGTGTTCCCCTTGCTCCACATCCTCACCAGGAGGAGCCCTCGCTTGAGTTTTTTACCATAGTGATTCTGACAGGTGTAAGATGGAATCTCTGAATCATTTTGATTTGTATTTCCCTGATGACCAAGGATGTTGAACATTATTTGTTTAAGTGTTTCTCAGCCATTTGAGATTCCTCTGTCAAAAATTCTGTCTAGATCTGTATCCCATTTTTAAATTTGATTATTTGGTTTATTGATGTTTAGTTTCTTGAGTTCTTTAGATATAAGCCCTTTGTCAGATATGGAGCTGGTAAAAATATTTTCCTATTCTGTAGGCTGCTGTTTTGTCCTATTGAGGGATATACTCACTTATAAGTAGACATTAGGTATAAAGTAAAAGATAATCATGCTACCGTCCACAGATCCAAAGAGGCTAAGTAACGAGGGACACATGGATCTCCCTGTGCAGGGGAAATAGATTTTGCAGGGGGACTGAGGACAGATGGCATGGGGACAGGAGGGATCAGGTGTAGGGGATGGAGTACTAAGAGAAAATAATGGGAAAGATAACTGTAATGGGGACATTTGAGGGGCAAGGTAGAAATCTAGCGCAATGAAAACTCCCTGGAATCTACGAGGGAGACCCTAGCAAAGACTCCTAGTAATAGGGGATATGGAGCCTGAACTGGCTGTCTTCTGTAACCAGGCAAGGCATCCAGTGGCAGGACTTGGACACCAACCCAGCCACAAATCTTCTACAGTTTGTAGGCAGTTTGGCCTGCCTACAAGATGTGCTGGGGTAAAGGTGGCACAGAACTTTTGGGAGTGGGCAACCAATGACTGGTCCCCTTTGAGACCCACTCTATGAGAATCCCACACCTGAACTGCCTGGATGGCCAGGAACCAGAGGCTGGACAGTCCAGAGACCTGGGACAGAACCAGAAACAACTGGAAAAGAAGTAGTGAATAACATGATTCCTAATTATATTCTGCTATACTCATACACCAGAGCCTAGCATAACTGTCATCAGAGAGGATTCTTCCAGCAACTAATGGGAGTAGATACAGAGACCCACAGTCAAACATTAGGAAGAATGTGGGGAATCTTGCAGAAGAGGGGAAAGGAGAAAGGACAGTAGAAGCTAGAAGAATCAAGCATACCAGAAGAACATGGCCTACGTAATCAACTAAGCAGTGCTTGTGGGGGCTGACAGAGACTGAACCAACAATTAGGGAGCCTGTATGTGTCTGACCTAGGTCTCTTGCATATATGGTATGGTGTATAACTTGGTCTTCTTGTAGGATTCCTAGTAGTATGAGTATGTGTTATCTCTGACTCTTTTGCCTGCTTCTGGGACCCCTTTCTCCTATTGCCTTGTCCCGCTTTGATATAAGGGATGTGTCTAGTCTTACTGTAACTTGTTCATTTGATATCCCTGGGAGGCCTGCTCTTTTCTGAAGGAAAATGGAAAAGGAGTGGATCTGGGGGAAGAGCCAGATGAAGGGGAGAACTGGGAAGAATGGAGAGAGGGGAATCTGTGATGGGAATTGTAATATATCAGAGAAGAATAAATTTTAAAAAACAAAAAAAAAATTTTTTTAAAAGCAATTTTAAAAAAGAGGGCAACAGGTATAAACAATGGTCCCATAGTTTAAGAGGGAAGAAATGATTCAATATGCTGGTTATGCAGAAGCAAACGGATCCCAATATAACATGGAAAATAAAGAATTATCCTGTAACTAAAATAAACAAATGCAAATTGATAGCTGCATTCATCTTATAGTGGTTTTCACTCTCCAGGACTAAAACCTTACACCGTGGTGGTAGGATATTCTCAGTCACATTAAGGAGAGAAATTATAACTCTGACCCAAAAAAAAAAAAAAAAAAGTCCTACTGTGTGTCATAGTTAGAGACAGCTGTCAATCTGACAAAATCTGAGTCACTTGGAAATGATGGGGGCGGGGGGTCACGTGCTTAATTCACATGGGAGGGTCCAGTTTCCTGTAGCCTGTGTTATCTCTAGGCAGGCAGGCCTGGGTTGCATAGGAAAGCTGGCTGAACAAGGCAAAGGAAGTATGCCAGTAAGTTCTTGCATCCAGAGTCTTTCCTTGAGCTCCAGTCCTGGTGTGCCTCAATTATACAACTACACAGTATAAGCTGAAAAAAAAATTCTTTGGTAAAGTTGAGTTTGGTCAGAGTGTTTACTGCAGCAACAAAAAGCAAACCAGGGCATTATAGATAATGTAAAAATATAACAGAGGGGCTGGAGAGATGGCTTAGTGGTTAAGAGTACTGACTGCTCTTCCAGAGGTCCTGAGTTCAATTCCCAGCAACCACATGGTGGCTCACAACCATCCGTAATGGGATCTGGTGCCCTCTAGTGTGTCTGAAGACAGCTACAGTGTACTCATATATATAAAATAAATAAATCTTTAAAAAAAAATATAACAGAGTTAAGCCAAATATAATTCCATGAATATTTAATTATATATTCTAAATGTCAAGATATTAAAACAATTTAAAACTAACAATCAAAGAACAACCAAACAAAAATACTTTTTCCAATTCAGTATGTCTTCATGACCAGTGAATGAGTTACTGAATGAATTATCATTTTAAAATTGAATGAATAAATGATTTTTAAAAGAATTATGTTGATAAAACAATAACAAGTCAACTTCAATCTTCAGCATTTATTAGCTGTGTAATGAATGTGGGCATATCACTTCTGATATCACCTACTGAATGACACAAAAGAGTGAGGCCTCACATAAATACACATCTCCTTACACTTGAAAGCTTTTGAGGTTTGTAATATTCTACTTCTTAAACTAGATATACATGTAAATCAAAGAAAAGCCTCTGCAAAACTGATGCCGCTAGAGAAATACAGTTTATAAATTAAATGTGTCTGTTAAGATACAGAAGGGGAGGGAACAAACCAGAAAACAAGTGATGAGACAGGAGAATAAAGAATGGGTTTTCTTTTTTTATAAAAGGCCCTAGAAGAGCAGGTGGGGAGCAAACAGGATGCTTCCACAGAGCTCCCTGCACTTCTATTTAAACACAGTCTCTAGCAGACAGATACACTGGTCAGTTCCTTAGCGTGACTTCATGAACAACAGCAGAATGAGCCTTTGTCTATTAGACACACAGACAGACAGCTTTCATTAATCAGAAAGAATACGGCCAAGTTTCTGCAGTGCAAATGTGTTGCAAGGATTATTTAGTGTCTGTTTTTTTTCCAATGTACACTGAAAATAGATGCCCAGTGACTTACTGCTAGCAGTAAGTTGTTGGGCGGCATAATGAGAGAGAGCTGTGCATGACCTGGAGATGGAGAGGAAGGAATAGTTTTGGGAAAATTATTTTAGGTATGTTTTCATTGAATATTTACTAAGACATCTAAAATTTCAAATTAAATGGCATCAAAACAACTTTGAACCAATAGTCAAAACAAAAATACTTTAAATGCACTGTATTTCACCATGAATCCTACCTTTTAGGATTAGGAAAAAAAAAAGGCAACGCTACTTATATACCCACCCTTCAAACACCTGGGCTGTCTGATCAGGATTTAGGATCAGGCAACTATGGTACCGCCTGAGAACGGCTACGATGCAGACACACAGTCCAGTAGTGTAACTTCCTGCCAGACTAGAAGACTTCAAGAGCAGCTCCGCTTCCACCACACTCAGTTCATTCAGCAACTGCAGCAGAAGCAGGGGGAGGGGAACAAACAGAAAAACTGGTCAGTGAACCATTAGGGCACATACCCCATATGCTATGGCATCAGACAGCACACTAGCTTTTGCTGTCGGTTACTTTTAAGCCTTTGCCAATTTTAACAAATGTTTTTCTGTCTAGACACCAGCATGTACACAACCAGGATGTAATCAGTGCTGAAACAGTTACCAAAACTTTCTGATACCCCAAGGCCCTGGATTAGGCTTTAAAAAAAAAACAACCCCATTCTTTATCTCTTTTTCTTTCTTTTCTTTTTTCTTTTTCTCTTTCCTTTTGGTTGTTGTGTTTCCTTTTTTTTCTTTCCTTTGAATGCAACACAATCAATAACTATAATAACTACTTTCTTAATTATAAAGCTTGGAGCAACTATAGAAAAAAGTCAAGCGTAATGTCTTTTCATTAACATGGAATAAATGAACTAAAACGTGTGTGACTACAGCGGGACGAGTAAAGCTATAAGGAGTATTTTAGAAGTCACTTATGCTCTTCACTGATTAAGTCTACTACAGAGAATATAGTACACTTCATTATCCCCCAAGCAAAATAATCAGGTATCAAAAAACAAAACAACAACAAACAATAAAAAAATCCTTTAAGTATATATAGTTTTAAATAAGACGTGTTATATTAGCATCAATTTTACCTTAATCGGAAAACTATTAATTCAAAATGTCTCAAACACTTTAAAATATGGTAGGTCCTTAAAATAGGTTGAATGTGATGGAACTGGCACATGCTCAAAGGCACGAAGTTCCAAGAGGCCAAAGAGAGTTGGGGCAGAGACGTGATTAGGGAAATGTTAATCAGTGGGGACTAAGCTCAACTGAATAGGAGAAAGATATTCTCATGTGCTGTGTAATATGGCAGGGTGGTTACAGGTAACAGCACGCATTGTACCTGGTAAAATTAGAGGAAAGGACTCTGACAGTTTCTACCATCAAGAAATGAGGTTTGAGGACATAGGTATGTGTCACTTGCTATGAGAATATACATAACATATACATGTTTTGAGGCATCATATGGTATCCCATAAAACTACATTTTGCACATTTATGCAAGTTAAAAAATAAGGGGCTTGAGAGCTGACTCAGTAGTTAAACGGCACTAGCTGCTCTTTCAGAGGGCCCATGCTCAGTACCCACCACCCTCATGGTGTCTCATAAGCATCCATAACTCCACTTCCAAGAGAGCCAATGCCCTCTTTTAAACTCTGCAGGCACCAGACACACACATAGTGCACATCTGCAGGCAAGACACTCATGCACATAAAATGAAATAAAAATCTAAATAATTTTTTTTTATATAAACATAAGCCAGGTCACAAGCTTGTGTAGCCTTAGGTACTCAGGGGCTGAGTAGGGAGGTCACTTCAGATGGAAGGTTCAGACCAGCTCAACAATATAGTGATAGCCTGGTTTTTAAATCAACAAATAGAAATTCTAAGGGAACAAGATAAATCTCTAGTGTCTGGCTGGTTCGCTTTCTTAAATGTGAGAAAGGAAGGCACAGTATAGTCTCTTTGACACCTGTATGGCAAAGTCAATTAGCCCATTGATGTTCAGCGCTGGCTCCATGAGATCAAAGATGAGCTGAATATGGTGAGCCAAAGGGAGGTGATAGGATGTTCCAGACGCAAAGCTTGTGATTTGTTCCAGCACATTGTTAGAGATCTGCTCAAACAAAAGCAAGGAAAATCACACAACCAGTAGTCCGGGCGGTGCTTCAGTTAGATATATTACATTGATCTTTTTTACAGCAACACATATGGAGTCATGTGATTCTATTTAGAAGTCAAAACATATACAAATCAGTGTTCTTATGATCATCTTTTGAAAATTTCAATTTAATCTACATACTGGTGACCCCAGAGGAAAAACACCCAAAAGTGTTAATCATCTGAGATATATTAACTGAATAACAATTGATTTCCTCTCAATTTCACAGTATTTTAATTAAACCATCAAACGGTTTCTCCTTCACCAATAGTGATGCTGGGTCAGCATGTCATATAATAAGTACATTAGGAATTACCTTTATGTATTGCTAACTATTGTAGAGCAAAAATACTTGAATAAAAACAGGTATTGAAGGAAACACCTAACACTCACAAATGAAGCTTGATATGCTTCCAAGTCTATAAGGGTCATTTATAAAAATTTGGGCTGGAAGTACACTACTTGAGCTCTTAAGGAAGTGGGAATACTGCAAGCGTGACAAACAGCCCTGAATGGATACCTGAGATGTCACTTGATGTTGATCAAAGTAGGAGAGGAGCTGGAGTTTCATGAACACATTTTCCGGGCTTGGATAAACCTCCTGCTTGTTCTTCCTGGCTTTCTGTCCTTCATCTCCAACTAAAGAAACATGAGCTGTGTTACTTTCCATTTAAATCAATCTCTTCATACTTTTAAAGATTTGTTTTGATGTGTGTATGTGTGTACATGCTCACTTGTTTGCACACGTATGTATGGAGGCCAGAGGAAAACATCTGGTGTCATCCTTCAAGTGCTATCACCATTGGAGTTTACCTTCTCTGATTGTACTCTAAGATGGTCTCTTACTGGCCAAAACTCACCAAGTAAGCTAGCCTGGCTGTCTAAGGAACACAAGGGGTCTGCCTATATCCACACCTACACAGCAATAAGATTACAACCATGCTCCATCACACCCAGCTATTTTTATGTGGATCCTGGAACATTACTGAGTTACCTCCCCGCCCCAGCTTTTTATGGGTAATTTTTACTGAAGTATGGCATAGATAAATGAAAGCAATACATACTCTATGCATTTTCACAAACAGAATGGGATCCAAATCATGAAATAATACCTCAATAATACCACCTATCTGACACTAATCTCCTCTCCCTCTCCAAGGGGACAAAGGTTTGGACAGCTTCCATCTTGGGTGGGTGGAAACTTTCACTCAACATTATGTTTTAAGATTGACTCACTATTAAGGTAATTTTAATGTGTACTAAATGTTAATAATTCTCACATATGTTATTTCAATGTGTGATTATATGCCACTATTTATTAATTCTTGCAAATAATGATTTGATTCTGGCTATCATAAAGTGACTTTGTAAGCATTCATCATTAAGTGACTTTAAAAATGCATCAATGAATCATCATGGTGGGGTGGGGAACACCAAGGCCCACTGGTGACTAAACAGGACATATTATAGGCTTTTTAAAAATATGGGTCATGTATTTATTTTGTGTTCATGTGCATTCACCATGGAACATTTGGGGAAGCCAAAGAAAAATTTAAGGGCATTCTCTCCTCCAGAAATCAAATTCAGGTGTTAAGGCTTAGTGGCAAGTCCCTTTGCCTTCTGAGCCATTCCACTAACTTTTAGACTCACCTCTGTATTTTTATAGACCAGTTAAATATATGCATATTTATTTACAATTTGGGTTATTTGGGGAACTCTGGCTTTCTTAACAACTAAGAGTAAAATTAAAGTCTCTAGAAAAAGGATGTATCTATGCATATACAAAGACAAATTTAAAAATGAAAAGTAATGGTTGGATTCCAGGACTTCTACAGCCCTATGTGCTAGCTGGTTAGAGGGAGTGCTGCAACTCAGTTTCATGTGGGAACTGTTAGTTCAAAAAACAAATGTTTCTGATTTCTCAAATGAAGGCATAAGAAGTAGGCAAGACTCTAAACTCCTCCACATCAAAAATGGGCCTCCCTTTGAACAGTCGGTCAGATACAAAATCAAAGTGAGTTCTCATCTTGCAGCTTGGTACAACAGATAGTGATACCAGAATAAACCAAGTAGTAAGATGAGCTGGCATTGGGCAGGGGAGATAGCATAATTAGCAAACGGCTTACCCTGTAAGCATGAGGCTCTGAGTGCAGATTCCAGAACCCATGTTAAAAAAAAAAAATGCTAGGACTGGTGACACCTGCCTGCGATCACAGCCTCTCGGGGAGGCAGAGCTGGGACAACTCATACAACCTCACTCAGTTACAAGCCAGTAAAAGACCATGTTTCAAGAAACAAACAACACAGTGGAGGATCCCAGAAGAATGATGCTTGAATTTGTTTTCTGACACTCACACTCACCATCCATGCTCACATCCATAAAGGAAGTGCTGGTAAAACACCTGACAAAGGTTCACTTCTGTCAAATTAGACCAATGATGATACAAACAAGAACTGGAAAATTAATTAGACTTGTCTTTCAGTATCTGTTCTCACAAGCACAAGTTAAACGTGGGATAAGGTCTTCTCTCTCACTGCTCTTTCGTGTATTATAAATATATTTGATTTGATAAGTTTTGATTTAGTTTTCATTTCCCTACTATCACTGCTCCAAGACTGAAAGGGTCGGACCTATTGTCTTGTGTGCATTAATCATTAACTTAGCCTCACTTGGATCAAAACAAACACAGAAGAAGACTTGAGGAAGTAGGCCTAGCTCAGAACTCCCAAGTGCATTTCTCTTTGCCCAATTGGGCAAAGAGGTTCCATTACTGACACATGTAAGGTCGTAAAAGCTTAACTGAAAAGATTTTCTAACTGAGTCTTGTAATCTAGAAAAAAAAAAATACTGATATTTAGTGGAGGTTTGAAATGAACAATTTTAATGCCATTTGCATGAGTAGCAATGCACTGAATATAAACAGGGTTTTTGTTTTTGGTTTTGGTTTTTGTTTTTTTGGTTTTTTTTTTTTTTTTGCCTATTTTCTTGTTTTCCTGGCATGCATCATTGCTCTTCCAAACCTTAAGTTTTACATTACAATTTTTAGCCTTTAAATTCTGAAAGTGTTGACCTTTTAGACAATGTTATTGCAAAGTTGACATGAAATTTAACTGGACATATTGTTTAAGCTTTAAGTTAGTGGAGCAGAAGTAGCTCAGTCAGCTGACTGATTGCTTAGCACACACACGGGCCTGAGTTCAACCCCTAGTAGTGCATACACAGGCATAATGGTGTGAGCCCATAATCCTAGCACATGGGAGGCAGAAGCAGGAGGAAGAAACATTCAGGCCAATTCCCCAAATTCCAGCCTGCCAGGAATACAGAAGACCCTATCTAAAAGAGACAAAACATAATAGCAGCAGACTTCGGGTTACCAATCCCCAAAGGGAAGACTGGCTGGTTCCGGAAGTGTCTTCAAGTGTTCTTCAAAGATCTAATCTTTGTTTTCCCAACAACAAACTATATGCTAGTCCAAGGGATTGCTTTCTTTCTTTTCTTTTCCAATCTTCACACTGCTAAGTAAAGTAAGGTGTGTGTGTGTGTGTGTGTGTGAACAAGTTTCCTTTAGCCTCAAGTATAGTTGGCTAACTTCTTGTATATAAACAAAGTCTTAAATAATAACTTAAAATGAACACTGTTTACCAAGTGGCTGAACCCTGTAGCTGAAGTTAAATCGAGGAAGACATCAGTTTGAAATGGTGTTTATGTGACTGACACTTTGAAACCCTGAACAGTGAACGTCTCTTTTGCAGTCCATATGGAAAAATAGACACTTAAGGGGTTGGCGAAAAGACAAGACAGACTAGTCTGGCATTAAAGCAAAATTGTGAAGAAAGGAAGGAAGCTTGACAGGAAGACTGCTTCTTTCCCCTTCCAACTTCCTTTGGTCTTTCTCCACCATAAATTTCAGAAATCTGCAAAGGCCCTCTACACTAATTTAGATAAATTAAGCGTGACTGTGCCTCTTATTGGCATCAGCACCTCCCACCCGAATTCCAACTCTGCTGAAAGCTGCTTCAAAATGCCCTTGGCTAGCTACTTAATGAGCCTTCCATATTCAGTCTTCTATCACAACTCATTTCCTGTTTTCTCTGTGAGAGAAAAACAGCACAATGAGAGTTTTCTTAGACAGAGCAGTTTCTTTTTCAAGCTCAACAAGAAGAGGCCAACAAAAGACAGTTTCGTTTCCCTTTCTTGGCTCTTGGTTGTTTCTCATGGTGCTGGTGTATTTGAAGGCCCTAACAGGCAAGGGAAGGGAGCCAGGGACGGAGATCACATGAGGGCAACTTCCCCACTGTGTTCTCAAAAGCCCATCCGGCAGACATTGGAGCTCCAGAAAAACAGGCCGAAACACAGGCAGCAGCCCTTCTGTTGTGCTCAGGCAGGTTTTACCCATGCTGACGGCAGAAAAAAAATTCAACTGTTTCCACTTTTAGAGAAAATCCAGTATACACAAGCAAGCCCTAGTAACGCATCCTATAAAAGTCATAAAAAAAAAAAAATGGAAAGGCTCCTGGGGAGTTTCTACTCAAGCAGGAAAACCAGCTGTTCATTCAGGGCAAAGGCAACTCTTCCCTCCTTCACGTGACTGATGAGTTAGAATGAGAACCAGCACCGGTGGTGCTAAGGTAGAAAACGATGCTGTGTTTTAAACCTTGACTATGAAATGACGTAAACCATAAAGAGAGTAATTAGGCAAATATGAAGTAGATAATTATAGGACTCCAATTATGTAATGCAATGACACAATACAAGGGCCAAGCTCTGAAAAAAATATGTGAAAATAACAGGGAAAGAAAATTTCACGTCAATCAAATCACCTCCTTCCCCTGGAATTATGTGGTGAGAGACTGAGCCGTGGCTACAATGGCAATTACCCTCTGGATAATGTGGAATCGGATCTATATCACGATTTGCCGCTCATGTGAAGTATCAGAGGACAGAGGAAAAGCAAATGATGCAGAGGAAAGGTAAACTGGCTGTTTGCAGGCAGTGTTCCGCCTCATGACTCAGAATACCACCCGCAGCGATGACCATAGAAAACTTGGTGCACGCATGACAAAGTACAAATCTTACCTGTGTCTCCCTACAGATGGTAGTTAATTAACACGAATGCTGCCAGTAATGAACACAAGGCCTTAGAATGTAAATGTGCCTATTCATATTTTAGTGACAGTCATTCAAGAGAGGAAGCACTGGGGACAGTGACATGGAGCACTCTGATAAGGCCAGGGAGAGCAGGGAGCACAGACAAACACAATGGGAGCCAGGGCACGGAGGCTCCTTACCCCCTGATTCTGTGGTGCTCTTCTTGTTCAGGATTTTGAGGATATCTTTGGTAATCTTCTTCAGCTGATGCCTGGCTTCGTCACGCTCTTTTCCGACTCCATAGAGAAGGATTGTCCGCTGGTTACATTCATGACTTGATGATTCATCCTGAAAAACAGCAATAGCCTCTGAAGCCAGTTTGCAGGGCTGGGGGTAAATTTTCTACTCCTGAGACACACTAATTACAGCCTCTCCATGTCTGCTTGCGGGGGTGGTATCTACCTGCTCGGCAACTCACCTCCACCGGCACCACCACCCCTGTCTTTCCGGTTTGGAACATGCTAAAGTAAAAATAATAACGTGCCAGCCGACCTGAAGCATTTGATGTGGGCGTACCCAACAGAGTAAGTTCTGGCTGTTCAAAGATTTTTTTGTTGTTGTCTAAATTTGACCATGGCATAAGACGATAATACTATGTCCTTAAGAAAAATGTCATTTCCTTAGTGAGCTTGGTCTTAGACATATAGCAATGGTGTGTGCTTTATATTTAGAAAAAAATATCTAGCTAGGACCTTCAAGCACCTTCAGAAAAACTGTATGACACTTACTTCAACATGACTGTATAAGATATATTAGTATTTATTTCCAGATGACAAAAAGCAAGTGTTGGGATCATCAGGCATGAGCTAAGTGGCTAGGACTTCAGAGTCAGAGATGACCACGCTATGTTTTAGACCCCTGATCACTGGAAATCCAAGCACTACTTTTTTCCTTGTGTGAAAATAAATTACCTGAGTAATGAACAGGAATCCAACACAGAGCTCACTTTACCTTTAGCCAAATATAAGTGTCCAAGGCACATCCTCACTCTTAGGACTGGCTTAAATCTTTCAATGCTAATTTCTCCCTGACATCTTTTGTTTTCCATTTTTTTGAGCAAAGTTATCTATTTTTCAGTTGGGTCTTCCAGTGTACCCCTCCCCTTTTTTGCTCTTTGTATAACACCCTCTAAAGAGCATCACCTTTTATCCTAAAGAACTCCTCCCAGGGGAAATGGATTGCGTATGTTCATCATTAGTGATGGCTCCAGCAGTGAATGAACCCTTCAGAAGTGGAGGAGCCACAGTGATACTCATAGTAACTCGTAACAAGCACCATGCTTCTGCAGCTCAGTAAGCACCATGTTCACTCTCCAAGTCTGTCAGGGTTTTTTTCCTTTCAAGTACACACTTCCCTTCAAGGCCCCAATTCAGTTACACTTGTTTCATTTTTTAAGACAGTGCTAGAAATAATATACATATTTGCATATCCTGGTGACTTAACCTCTCTATGCCCCCTGCTAATTCTTTAACGTTCCAAGTGTCTACAGAGGCCCACAGAAACCCAAACAGGGATGGTGAGAGATAAAAGATCCACACACCAATAACAAGTCAAGACAGCCCCAGCCCCATAGTGCACTATGCTTAGGGTAGAGAGAGTTTTGTAACTTATCTTAGTCATGACACTCAACAACTCCATAATCCTGGTTAATAAGCCTTGTTCCTTGTCTCAGATTCCTCTTCTTAAAATAGTGTGATGCCACCTTCCATTTAAGGATTTGTGAGAAGAAACAAGACATAACAATACACGCATGTACTGTGTACATACAGGGTACTCACTCCTCATATTCTAGACTCCCACTCTTCCACACACATCCTGAGTCCACACTGTTGTGCATAAACTAACACCTTCCATACACCTGCTTACGCCCTTCCTGCCATCTAAGATTCATAATTTCTATGGCTGACATCTGTCCACAGGTGCCATGTTATAACCTTATCAATGGCCACAGCATGTGGGGACTAGGAAGAGGAAGAAGAGTTTGCAGCTTTCATCAGACATAATTCATTGATTTCCTAGGTTATCGGGGGAGGGAGGGCAGGCATAGACGGCCGTCTCCCTGAGTCTTCTATTACTCTCTTTTGTAAGGACCAAGTTCGTAAGCACACCAAGCACAAAGGAAGCCAGTAGAATAAGGAACAAACTCATGGACAAAAGACAGAAGGGAAAAAAAAGAAGACAAAAATCATTGCTTTGTAGAAAATAACTAGGCTGCCAAAGTCCTAAGAAGGCTGAAGAAGTGAGGGACAGATAGACAGCTCATATCTGTGTGGTGAGCTAAGTCTTAGTTGTGGGGACGAGGAACAGAAAGCAGAATTTCAGAGGCACTTGGAGGAGAAAAGGGTCAGACAGCAGGGTCCAATGAATGAACATGTATCTCTCTGGATTTCATTGAACCACTTTGAAAAAGTTGTTGTAGAAAAAAAAACATGAAAATGTATAGTTAATATGTATTTGGTGTGATGTGGAACTAATTCAGGTCAGAAGAGAGGCAGTAATGGAGCACTGAGTTCCAAACCCTCCACATCCTACAAGAACAGTAGATAGGTACCTGAGGTGGTGGGGAATATGAGCAAGCCATTAAATGATGCTTCCGTGTGCTTCTTCATTTACTAAGATACTCTAACCATGCAAGGCCTAGAAATCAGGCTGGCAGACACAGCAATAGGACCATCAGCCAACGATCCAATAGGGAGCAAACAGAGGTAAGGAATCAGTTTAGATGTGGTGACTTTGGTTTTTGTTTGTGTTTTCTCTTTTGATTTGTTTGTTTTCATAAAAAGAAAAGTGAATATCACAAAAGAGGGGTTTCTCCAGACTAGCTGTGAAGATAGCACAGCAGGAAGTGATGGGGTGAAGTAAGAGCGGAGATGACAGGAGAGAAGTACAGGGGGTGGCAGACAAGTGACTCGAGTTTACTAGAAGCTGAGCGTGAACAACAAGTTCAGGGAAAAGAGAAAAATGATTTCAGTAATAAGCAGTAAACTCTAGGTTCAATGTTATGACACAAATAAAGAAGCCTCCATAGAGGACATCACATTTGCAGGGCAGATAACTGGTGAGAGGGGAGACACAATGGGGCATTGTCTAGATTAATAGGGCAGGGGGGGGATTAAGAAAACTATAAGTATGGAGATGAAGAGGTGAGAAATTTCAAATTCCAATCAGCCTACTGATGTGCTTGGGCCACTGAGCCAGGAAGCACAGCCCTGATGGAAAGAGATGAAATAGAGTCACTCCAAAGCAGCCTGAGATGAGATGGGAAGGATTTGCCAGGGAGAAGACCATACTGACTTAAGTTAATATCAGGAAAAGAGTAGTAACAATTATTGGCTTTCCAACAGCAAGGGGGAAACATTTTGAAGTTCCCAACAGGTGAAATGATTCATTTATGTCTATTTTTTTGTGTAAATAGAAAACTGTACAATTCAAACAGTGAATTGATCAGATAAAAAGCAACTCAACTTACAATTATGTATTAAATACTTGCAAATATGACAGTGGATTTCTACTCTTTTAACTTAGCATCCCCATACTGCATTCTCTGAGTAACATTAATGATCTGAGACCAGAACCAAAAATTATCGTAGTATCTATTCCCAGAAGGGTATATTCACTGGGCAGAAGAGAACCAATTAACCCTCTACAGAAGTCCAAGTCTTTATTTTTAAGATAAATGTTGAGACTTGATCAGGTCATGTCCCCGTAAACTGAGTTTTGAAAAGTACATCCTCCAGATCAATCACTCCTTTCTCCAGGCATTACATCATGCTCACAGGGATCTATCTGACTATGAAGCTAGAAGACTGAACCTTGAAAACCAAAGCACTCTTACCCACCACGGAAAGTCTTAAAGTGTCTTCTCAGAGAGACATCCTTAGGAGGAAATAATGGAGTTGGCCAAATTAAGGTCTTCCCTAAGTCATGTTGATATCTTTAAAATAAATGTCGAGAATAATGACCAAAATGTGTGTGTTTGTGATGTGTGTGTTTCACATTGTGTGACAACAGAGATGAGGCCATCAGAAAGATGTGCTCTTCCCCTGGCCCTACTTCCTGGTATTTATATAGTGATTCGATAAGCACAGAATATTAGAATTAGCTAATAGTTAAGGATGAGTCTTTGAAAATATTCTGAATATGTTCCTTTCTCTGGAACACTTAGAATAAACAGATGAGTTAATGCAATTATCCTCATAAAACAATACATAGAAGTCATACCTTAAGTTTGTATTTTTGAATATTTAAGTGGGAGCTCACCATGCACCATAGTAAATGGAACATAATGCCTCACCTCACTGCTAGGAAAGCAGTAAACTCTAAATAATAAGAATAAAGAATTAGGGACAGAGAGTAAAGTGCAGCGTTAGAGCATTTTTCAAGCATCTGGAAGAATATGGGTCTAATTCCTTGTGCCACATAAATAATGTATACATTATATACATGAATGAATGAACAAAAAACCCTAACCATTTCAAGTATAAATTATTAAAACAAGTTATGAAAAATTTGCCTTTGAATATGACCTCCTTCAGCTGAATCTCATGATAACCACATTATTTTGTTTAAGAAATAACTCAGGCAAATGTTTTACCCATAGTTAACCTTATGCTAGAAGAGCGAACGAGCATTCACAAGGAGAAAGGCTGTGTCACTCAGACAAAATAACTGTCAGCTTCTTTTTACTGGTAACTGTTCCTAAATGGTAGTACCCTTTCTTTATAAATCAGGAAAACAGATGACATATTTTTGAAGGAAATATCTGCTTTTCAATAGCACAGAGTCTACAATACACTGTTTCTATTCTTTCAAGCAAAGACAATGTTGATAGATGTTTGAATTATAAGACACAGCCTTTTTCTTTCTAAATATTCCCAATGCCAAGACGGCTTATTTTTGAAAGCTAATGTTCATATGACCTAAATTACTATGACCAATAAAGCTAAGCTACACCAATATATGTCCTCAATAAAAAATACTGATATAAAAATGAGAAAGTCATGAGAATTGGAAGATCCCAACTGATAATCAAATGTGTAATTACATCTTCATTCTCCTGCTCGTACAAGGACCACATATACTTCAAAGAAAGGCCTCTTCGGCTTAGAGTAATGCTATATGAGCTAAATATGTTTCAGATGAACATAAAGTACTGTCTATCTTCAATGGAGTTGGCAAAATAATTAACCATTTGAAATAAAAGTTCTGCTTGAATTTTCCAAATTATCTTGGCTAGAAAATAATCAAATTAAATTTCATTTCACAATAATATGATTATAAACCGTATGTGATGGCGGTGCTTACTTATGGGGGGAGGAGGGTGTGCCCAGCTAATTATGCTGTATGATAATAGAGTTTTAGGATGAGTTACAGTCTATCTAATACTTTTAGTCACTTTCATGGTGGTCAAAGGGGAAATTGGCAATTGTCCCCAAGGAGAAAATGTGAGAAGTTCAGAGAGAGGTGTTTGTGGCTGTCACCTCAATTCTCAGGAAAGATGAAGCTGGCTTCAGTAAAAGATCTTTTTATTCTTCAAATGCCTACTGAAAATGTTTTAGAAATTATATTTATATATATTCTCAATAAGAAAGACTTAGAAATCTTGAATTGGTTTTCTTTTAATGTGGGAGACTGATTCACTGAAGTAATCTATAATTCCCCTTAGGAAGACTGGTTTCAGCCGGGCGCTGGTGGCGCACGCCTTTAATCCCAGCACTTGGGAGGCAGAGGCAGGCGGATTTCTGAGTTCAAGGCCAGCCTGGTCTACAGAGTGAGTTCCAGGACAGCCAGGGCTACACAGAGAAACCCTGTCTCAAAAAACCAAAAAACAAACAAACAAACAAGACTGGTTTCAACATAGATTTCAGAAATACTATAAATATCCCAGAGTTTAGAATTTGGTATAAAGGCAATTATAGTGCTTATTTGATCAAAATGGAGTACAGCCACTTCACAAGCCATTCAGTCCTCAGTCCTCAGTCCTGGGCCCTGAAGAGGAAAGAGACTACAGAAATGGCATGGGGATGGTCTCAGAGACAAGGGTGGCACTGGACCAGACAGTCTAGGTTTGGAATTCACCTAGCTGTTCTACTAAGTTTCCTTCATTCAAAACCTGATGATAAAATGAGTACTGACTAATAAAATAAAAGTGGGTTGTTTCATGGCAGTATAAGAAATCAAATGTTGCCAATTATTATTCTGAAGCATAAAGTTCCTTTAGAATACTTTAGTTGCACAGTATCTGACACCTTCACACAAATATCCATGCAGGGGAAAAAAAAAACAATGTTCATGAAGTAAATGTAAATTATTTTTTAAAAAAGTATTTCAGATATCCAAACCAACAAATAAGAGAAGTTTAGTTGGCTTTGTTTATACACTAAGGTAAGAACAACCAAATAAAATTTCCAAAAAGTTTAAAATCAAACCAATACTTCTTTGTAGGTGATGGAAATACTGCAGCCAGTATGTGTCTGAATGTTGATAAAGTGAATGAGATCAATAGCTTGACTTCAAATTTCAGTGACAATAAAAGTCCAATGTCCTTTTATCCAGTGGTCGCCTCTGTATCATGCCTGAGCATCACATGGAAGGAAGGTTAAATACAAATGAGGGGTTTCTGGTTCACAGAAACTAGGCAGTGGCCCCTAAATGTACATTTTAAAAAATCTCTTCAACTGATGCTGAGCTGCCATGATACATCACTAAATCCATTAAACAAGTGTAAACACTCTCAGCATTCAGAATAAATGGGATATATGTCCCTAGTAGAAGCACCTACTCAAGTGGTTTTATTGCTAACAGCCATTTCAGTGGGAAATATTGTGCTTGTGCAAAAAGCATGTGCTTTTCCTCCAAACGCAGGGGCCAGAAATATTTATACAAATATAAATTTATCCTACAGTTTCACTCCAAGTGTGTCTTTTGCCTTTTTCGTTTAAAAGTTAAAAACTGCATATAGTAGTATTACCAAGATTAATTCAGTATTACCTTTACCCATAAATTCAATCCTAAAGAAACACTCTGTTATCTATGCCCTGTTCAGGCAAACCATGAAGGCTGTTTCATGCAACCAGCCTGGCAGGGGATGCAGTTGCTTTGCTTCCTAATGTAATTTGGGAATCTAATAATTTATAATGGGATGATGTTGTTTTACCCACAAAGATGATAATCAAACCCAGATTGCAAATAATGACATTATGAACTATGATAAAACGAGAAGCCGAAGGCTTACCCTCCCCAAGGGGGCACATATTTTGAGATAATACAATTACTTGTTAGACAGTGACACATCGTCCACTTTGAGCACAGTATGCTTTCAGGTGAACAGTTATCTGTGAAAGCGAGCCTGAAACCTTCTCCTGGAACACATTTAGAAGACTTCCTCTCAACTTGGATTTATCACTTATATGCATGCAAAATAGCCAAACACAAACAAAAAAAACCCCTCCACCTTGATTCTATTTCAAGTTTGGGAAAAAAAAAAACCCACAGTATCTTAAATTGCTTTTTAAAAGACGACTTCTCAGCCGTCTTTGCCTCACTATTTTCCATGAAATAAAAGGAGAAGTCCTAACACCAGACAGACTCGGAGTCTGCAGAGCTCTGAATATTCACAGAAGGTAATCTTCTACTGGGGGGGTGTTTTCCTCCCCTCTCCGCAGACAGACACTGAGTCTGCACAGCTCCAAGCCTGCATGGAAGGTGTGCTTTCTTCCTCTCTCCCTTTCTCTCTCTCTAGAACACTCAAGACTGCACTGCTGAAATCTCAGCAGATTCTCTATCACAGAGGGCTTTGGCAACAAAACCAAGTCACTGAGAGGAAAGTACCAGATGCCAGTCTGAAAGTTCTACTAACTAATATTACCGGAGACATTCATTTCCTTCAGATTCAACAGAATATCCAGGTAATGTTGTTATGTTAACATTTAACAGAAATCTACTTGTACTCTGATTGATATATAAATCAATATATATTGTTCTTGAAATTGAAAGCCTTTTATAGCAATTACTAAAACCAGAAGCATATGTTTGGAATGGTATTAAATCAATTAAACTAAGATACAAGTTTCAGTAGTGTGGGAGACTAAGTTCTTCAATTAAAATATGTTAAGCATGGAGAAATATTGATGTTTTGAGTCTAAAATGAGAATTAACTATAGATAAAAGGAATGGAAATTCCCAACGACAAGAAAGTTGTTAAATGATTTGCCTACTCTACACAATGAGCATTCTTAAGTTAGAATGGTCAGAACTATCCAGGAATGAGTAAATAAAAGGAACTAACTATTGCAAAGAGGGTTGAACTGTGGTGAACTCAGTCCCTCTGAGGTGTTGAATGAGAGGCTGAGAACTCAGCTCATACTTCTGGTGGTATTCTTAACTGTATCATTCTCAGTAATTAAAGGATCCCATTGACATTTGAAGGGAATATCTGCTATCTTTATTTATCATGTTAAATCTTCCATGAGAGTTCTATGGGGTTTTAAAACTGTATATTTGGATATGAGGAATCCCATTTTATGAGAAATCGTTTTATTTATTTGATGGAAATTTTAAAAATTTCATCTTAAATTTCAAGTTAGATACAAGACAGTCAAGTCAACTACTCCCATTCCTTAAGCTGTCTGCTGGGTGATGACCTAGGAGATCAGACCAGTTTCTGGTGTTTTGTTTTAGCTACCATTAAATATGCTACAAATCTGGGAATGATGCTCTGGCTGCTTTGAGAAATGTCAAATGATGATCACAGGTACAGAAGCTGTTGCCCGCATCATCACCATCATTATTACTATTTTAGGATTCACACTGAATGATATTCAAAAAACATTACAAACTTCAAATATAATGAACGAGTCGAAAATGACAAATACATGGGCTAAAAGCCCATGAGTCTCCGGGAGGCTAATATTTTATTGCATGGCTGAACACAGGCAGAGATATTTCCTAACACACAGGGAAATTTATTTGGATTATTATTTTCTACAATCTACTACTTAATTGATGAATAAATTTCCCAACAGTGATTTTATACCAATTTCTTTGAACTTTTCCATTTATAATTCTAACTTATAATTAATCACTTCTCTATTGAATTCATCAATGATATTAAAGAATGAAACCAGGAATATGGGCAGAGAAGAAAAGGCAGCTGTAAACAGACACAAAGGCTACTTGGCATACAAAAAGAAAAAAAGATGCAGGGGAACTAGACAAAGCATGGCTAGAGCCTGTCACAAGGCTTTTCTACATAAACACAGGAGGGCTGACACCAAGACAACAGTGCTGTGAAATACAACCTCCAACCAAAACAAGCACAAGGCTCTCATGACATCTCACAACGCTCTTCACATCATTTTAAGTTGCTAGAGATGGAATAGTTGCATAGATGGAATATTCAGGGATTCAGCTGTCTATTCATTCCTACTAACTGCCACAGTAAAGATAAGAAAACTCAAGTTTTAAGCAAAGCTGTACTTCTAAAATATATGTATGACGATAACAAGCAAACCAATGACCTGTGACTAAATGTGATCTATCTATCTCCCTCCCCCCCCCCCCCCCCCCCCCCACCCCCCCCCCACACCCGGCCAGCCCCCCCGGCCTCCCCCAAGACCCAGCCCCCCCCACA